TCTTTCTTATTTTTTTTAAAGTTATTTAAAGTTACAATGCTACAAACATAGATAAAAATACCGTCCAAACGAGACTTTGAATTATAATATAAGTAGCTTTTGCTAGAATACCAACACGATTATCAGCGAGGTGTTCCTAATACTAGATTACCAGATGATCAAACTTACTGTCTTTATTTGTATATCTCCGGGTTGAAAATTACTTATTCGCCGCGTCATGACAAAACCAACATAGTACGTTTGCGACCAGCATGGATCCAGACCAGCCTGCGCATCCGCGCAGTCTGATCAGGATCCGTGCAGTCTGATCAGGATCCATGCTGTTCGCTATCAGTTTTTCTACTTGCTATACGGTGTGTAAGCGAACAGCATGGATCCTGATCAGACTGCGCGGATGCACAAGCTGGTCTGGATCCATGCTGATCGCAAACGCACTATGTTGGTTTTGTTATGACGCGGCTCATATGTTATAGAAAATCTGTGTATAAGATACCGAACTTTTTCATTTCATATTTTTTAAGTTTTAGTAACCTCTGATTAATTGAGACTTGATCAAATTATTCATAAAATGGTCGTGTACTAAAGCATAATGGGCATGAGTGCTACAAAACAAAGTTCATATATGGACAATTATTTGAAATTTTATAATAATGATTAATAATTATATCAATTAAATCATACGCATTTAATCTTTATGTTAATTCAGGTATTACATAAGATACCACTAGCCTATGTGTGTGACAAAACAATCTCATTATACAAAATGTAAAAAACAACAACAAAAAACATATAACTCTCTACAGATAGGCTCTGAACGAAAACACATTCAGTTCCCAGATTATTACGAAACGCGTCTAGGGGAAATAGAAGTAACGAATAAATTGTCCTTCTTAAAAGAGTCGTGTGACAATTTGACAATAATTCATCTTAGCTAGTCTTTCCAATCTCAGAGCAATGACATTTCAACGTTTTCTGTTATTACGCTCCGCCGCTCATTCGCCTATTATCGTCAAGAGGGGAGCTAGCGTGAAAGATGAATTCAAGATTATTTAATTTACGCTGTGAAAATCAAATATGTCTTTTATTGACGGGCTGGAAATCTTGTTAGGCGGACACCACTGCCTAATAAGAATAAACACTATTTTCGCCATTGTAACCGTTAATGATTGGAGATAACTTTATTAAGGAGTCATCCGTTAGAGACGGGAACGATAAAGATGTCTTCTTTAGTCGTTCCTATAATGCCATTTTCCTAATATCGGCGTTCTGAAGTGTCACGTGATGTATTTCTAAGAACTTTGCAACAAAACATCAGAACGTAATGATGTCATGTGACCCTAGTTTGTCGCATCGCGTTGATGTGATTTTAAGTAGGAATTAGCGACAAATCCACCTGATCCGAGGCCGAGATGCCTCTTGAATCATAACGAACTGTCTTGTCGCAACCTCTTGAATTGTGTAGTCAGTTAAGATTGGGTTATCGTCACTGGCAATAAGTGAACTAATTTCTTTCTTCGATGACATTCAAACTTTTCCGGACTTAATCCACTTTATATACGTGTATAACGTGGTAAAGAGCATAGAAGTTCAAACCAGTTGAAAGTGGAAAGAAAAATGTTAAAGTATGTATTTTACAAATCAAAAGAAGAAGGAAAAAAGCAACAACACTAAATTGTCCATAAACCTTCAAATATACTCTTATTAACTCTTTTCTTCTAATTTAACTCTTAAAAGAATTTCTTAACAATATTTTCAAAATCATACTTAATTAAAAGATAGGTCAAAATAGTCGGCTTGACTTTTGGTTCAATTATTCATAGTTCATTTTATTACCCTTTCGATGGAACTTTTCAGTTGTTTCGTTGTTGTTGTTTTCTTCTTTTTTTGTTCGTTTTTTTTAGATATATATGGAAACTGTCATTTTCCTGAATAAACAATGCATGTGTTATTGAAGAAAATAGACTTAAACAAACTGTAATGCATATATACAGGTATAAATACGCGAAACAATCAAAATGTGGAGATGCTTTTCTTATTTTAGTCATCATTTGAATAAAAGTATAAATGATATTGAGAAAATAAAAAAAATGGTTGACTAAAAATAGTTACTTTGCTTTCATGTCATATATTTATTATTATGTTTCGATAATTATAAAAATTTATATTATAAAAATAAAAACATCTTGTCTTACGTTACAGTACAACGGAAGGCGACCTTAACTAGCTTGTATATATAATACTTCATGTTTTTTTAACACTAGAACTTCTTAAAATAAGATGGTTGACAAATAAATCTTTTGAATAATCTCATTTATTATCATTACTTTTGATTTTTTTTTAAGTTATCTTCGTATACAAGCGCATAGCACTTCGGTATCTTAGTATTCCTCAAAAATAAATTTGTAAATACTTGCTACAAAATATTGATAAGAAAACCGATGAGCTATTTTACAAAATTATTTCCTGTGAGAAGAGCAGCACTTGTTTGATTAAAAAATATCGAGATGAAATTACGTGATTAGCCTGCACCGTTATAATCACACGCCGTGAAAATAGCTTCTTTACGCTCATTTTCACCTTGTGAATAATTAATGTTACGGAAATGAACGAGAACCTTTGAAACAATATTAATATGATCTTGATGGCGTGGTTGGAAATTAAATCATAGCTATTAAATGTAATATGTCATAAAATGTATTTTTGCGAAGAAGTTATTGCTATAGTTTGTATAGGTGAGGCCCGTCACTTTTCCTTTGAAGAATGTTTTCCAAATTAAATATAAGAATTTAACATGAAATGAAAAATCAGTTGGGGTTGTGTCTGTGTGACTTATGATTATAGCATCCCGGGAAAGAATGATTATATTTAATCAAGAAAAAATTATTGAAATGCTTCATATAAAAATAGTAAAGATTTTTAACCGCATTCTAAATAAAGTAGTTTAAGTAACAAAAAGAATATATCAGATAAAATTTAAAAATCATGTAAATCGTTATTCTTTCAAACAATAATATGTAGAAGTAATAAGTATGTCTTTGTTCGTTACAAAAACCTGAAACTTAAAATGATCTTAAGACCCGTCAAAAAACAACAACAAAAAAGAAGAAATAATAAAAGAATATCAACTTTCAACTTCAGTGCAGCCAATTTTAGAAACCTAAATCCAAAAACGTTTTCTATTGCAATTATCCAAGTCCATCTGATGTTCAAAAACAAATAATAACAATTTACCGGTAGAGCCTCATTCCGATATTTTTGCGGGATAAAAATCACCGGTGTCGTAAAACAAAGTTCCTGTAAGAATTGTAATTAGGCATCAAAACGTATTGTTTTGAAAACAGCAGGTGGTTTTGTGTGAAGAAGGGGACGATTAATAGTCGGTAATTGAAAAAAATACCGCCATCTTGATTGAATGGTTAATCGAATGCCTTGCTTTTGTCGGCACTTTAAAGACATTGAATAGGGATGGTTTATATCTTTTTTCATAGTTCGGCATGGATTTATTAGCTAACTTAATAATGCGGTAATGAATAATAGGAGAAACTAATAGATCAAGTAACACATATTTGATATATGAATACACGTCATGCACTGTTACATAGTTTTTTTAAGTTCATTTTCGAGAGACCTGAATAAAAGAACATTTAAATAACATGTTTCAGATTTTAGAACATGTTTTATCTGAAACATTTATAAAGTGTGGACACAGATGAAAAAAACCAAACAAACTCGGATTAATATTCATATAATTTAAAAATGTGAATCTTTCATCTGAAATAAAATAAAATCCGGTATATAAATTAATTAATTATAATAGTATTAAAACATTTTTATGCTCGAAAAAAAATAGTACGAGCTGTTTGCCACATGGCAGTTTAAATGCTTTACACGGTGGTCAAATTAATTATCACGTCAGAAAATGACTTTAATGAATCTTATGACGTTTGGTGATTTGCGTTATTTCTGTGAATATATCCTCTTATTAAAAAGAAACAATAACAACAAACAACAACAACAAAACATGTGTGCATTATCACACTTACCGTAATAAGATGGTCATAGCTTGCCGTTGAAATGAGTTTAAAGCAGACTGTTGAGTTTAATTCTTTAGTTATAACTACGAAATATAAGTTGATGGCAGCAGATATTACCCCCTATATAAATGGAAGATAACGAAATAAATAAATAAATAAAAAAAAACCTTACTTTACCACTCTCGTCACCCTCTCCGACCGTCAATCGTGCATGTATGTATGTATATATGTATAGATAGTACATTGTATAAGAAAATTCCGTCACAAACCTGCATTTCCCCTAGACTGGAATACCTCATACATTATTCAAATAATCAAAGATTGTAATTCTTCCGACACCGACTGACACCACCAGCAGCTGCCATTTAGCACGTCATGTTGCAATTTAGTTTAGTCTGTTTCTAATTAAACATTTAAGTTCTTGTTATATCAAATCGTTTAAAAGAAGGACTCCTGATTAAAACGATTAAAGGAGTCAGAATATTTGTAAGTCACGCGAACTCTTACATTTTCAATTACTTTCCATCACTGTTTGCCCAAAGGAAATCTTAACATTACTGTTACAATTTCAAGTTGTATAAAGTTCATTAAAATCTTTAAATAGTGATTTTTCTAACGTTTTTAAGCGTCGACAAGAATTTGTCACGTCAGCTAATTTTCTGTCCAAGTTTTAAAAGTTTTCGACGACGTTATTTCCCTGTGTCTATTCCTTTAATTTTAATACATGTTATAGCAAAGAGAGCGAGAGTTGGCATTTCCTTCTAAATTGAGAAATAAGGGGCTGATCAAATTATATCCTTACAAAATTGTTACTTCAATAATGAGGATTACAACTTCCACATTCAATATTACTTAGTTTTTCTGTTATAGCAAATCACAATATCAACGTATAAATCATGTTAACATGTGTACTGTAATATAGAATAAAACATAATTAAGATAAAATTGTTGTTATTGCTATTTCAGGTATGATATCAGAAAGTTCTGACCAACCAAGATTTTCTCCACCATGTCCTTCACCATTGAAGATCTCGAATTTGATCGCCCCGTCCCCAGGAATTGTTGTGTCCGTACCGTCGCATGTTGATAGTTCCACTCCCGCCTCATACTCTAAGCGTGTATCACCCGGTCTGACATGCCTAGTATGCGGGGACACGTCGAGTGGTAAACATTACGGGATACTGGCGTGCAACGGCTGCAGCGGGTTCTTCAAAAGAAGCGTCAGAAGAAAACTAATTTATAGGTAGGTGTTACATAGATGACATTTCTCTTTAAAGATTAATTTTGAAGGAAGCCTTATATGGAACAATAATACTAAAATTAAAGATTCTGCTGGCCGTAAGGGGGTGACCCGACTTAAAATCCGTTTCTGTTTTCTGTACTTAAGATCAGTTAGACATTAAGTTATATTTTTCTTTCACAACTGTCAATAATTTCAAGTATTTACGCTATTTCATATTTACCAACGTTGTATATAAAGTATGTTGGCTGCTCCGCCTACAGGACGCGTGACAAAAAATTGTACATTTAAGATTTTGTCATATACTTAAAAGCGAAAATAAGATTAATGTATCTATAAATAAATAACTTCTATAACTTCTATAATTTTAGATGCCAGGCTGGTACCGGACTGTGTATTGTTGACAAAGCGCACAGGAACCAGTGTCAAGCTTGTCGTTTAAAGAAATGTCTGCAATTAGGGATGAACAAGGACGGTCAGTGTAATAATGTTTTGTTTTCCATTTACTGATCGTCAATTTCTCTCAGTCCTTATTCGATACCATTCGCCAATTTTCCTCCATCTTACATTTGGTAATGATTGCCAATTTCCTTCAATCCTAAATACCATAATATTTATCAGGGGCTGAAAAGTTTGAATTAAGTATAAAACTGTTTTTGATGATTTGTTTTATAAAATTTATAAATGTTAAAATTTATGTTGTTCCTACCAGCTAATTGTCTGTTCTCAAAAGACTTGTTATATAGAATGTCTCTGTACATAACAGATCTCACATGAATATTGAACTTAAACAGAAAGTTCAAGAACTAATAAAAATCATAAAATGGTTCTATTTTAAGCAAGGCTTTAAGGGTCGGTGGCCACCATATTCACATTCTAATTTGAATATTTGATCATGTAGAACAAACTAAAGTTAGTTTATTTTTCATACTGCACGCATAAAATAATTGCCTTAGTATAACACTTACACAGTCCGGAATCACACAGCAACGGAATCACGTTTTGCAATGATTTCTTGCATGCGCCATAAACGGAAATAAACTTAATTCTTTCAAACATATATTTTTGGACTATTCTTCTTCTTCTTCTTCTTCTTCTCCTTCTTCTTCAAAATTCAAACAATTCTTATTTCAACAAATATACAGCTTAGTAGCCTGAAATAAGTAACTGTAACGCTGAATTATTTCTTTAATTTTTTTTTTCTGCTTTAAAATTGTTAGTTTTTACACAAAGTGATGAAGAAACTTTGGTCGTTTTTAGGGATATTTTTGTGAAATATCTCTAATGCAAAAGAAATTTGAAAATAAATACACGTACAGGCTTCTTTTTTTATTTGTTTTTTCTTCAAATGAAAAACTGATCTTCTATGAATTAAATATTCTGGAATCCTGCTCTCATTGTGAATATTATAATGTTAGAATAATGTACATGTATTTAGCAACCTTGCAGTTCTGTATATAAAACAACCTTGCAGTTGAAAACTAACATAATATTTTGTTTACAGCTGTACAAAATGAACGTCAGCCCCGAAACACTGCACAGATCAGAAATGATCAGATGGAAAACGGGTTTGAGTCTAGCTTAGGAAGTACACAAGCGACCGTCTCGGCCACGCACCCCGCGTTTAGTCCGGCCGCTAAACACAGGCTGATGGCGGGAATCAGTAGTCGTGAAACCTCGACAAAACAAGAACACAGACATGAAGGTATAGTATTATGAAGTCATTTTCCAAATAATATATCTAGCAATAAATTAACTATAAGCAGTGTGTGTATTGAGAAATAATTTTTCAATCATGCCACATATTCATGTATTTGTAATAAATGTACAGTATAAGCATTATGCAAAGAAAGTCTGCACTTGGTTTCTTTGAAATTCTGTATACATTTAAAATAGTGGCAAATTTGTTCCATTCAAAAATTACGTATCAAAAGGGAAGGGCATTTAAAAAATGGCAACATTCTGCAACTTTTATTTTTCATCCTCAGCTGTTTACACGTAACCAAAGTTCTGATAATAGTAGTAAATATAGTCCTTCCAAATACGCCAATACTTTGTTTAATTAATAGATACGTACTATGTATTCAATATTTCCCTGTAACCAAGGGAACACTTTCCTTTGCAACACAATATATTTTGCTTGCTTGGATTTTGTAGTCAAGATCTTACGGAGCGTGACAACGCCAAGTGTAATGAGAACTATCAAGAGAACTTGATAAAATGTTGTTGCTTTTTTTTCTTAATGCCAGCATTGTGGCGTCAGTGATGTAACGTATAATCAATGTTTTAGAAGTCATGGAATTTGGTTTAAAATTATTGTTTTGTTTCGGTTTTATCAAAAGATGGAAAACTGAATGACCATGTTTTAATTATATATCTTCTTAATTAAAAGTACTATACGCATTAATAATTTATATATTTTGATACAGACCACGATGAAAACATTGACGTCACAGGCACCGACAGTAACGAACGTCACGTGACACCATATTACAGTAGCTATGGAGACACGTTCTTCCCCCTGGCTGGTCAAGAAACTATGTATGAATGCTCTGCTAGACTGCTTTTTATGGCTGTACGATGGGCAAAGAATCTCCCGTCCTTTGCCAATTTACCATTCAGAGACCAGGTTTGTATGTTTTGAATATATTATAGATAAAGTTTCTATGCTTCTACCTAATTAAGATAAAATCACTGATCAGTTTTATGTATAGGTTTGAGTGCATATTGGGTGTTCTTCGTAAATAAGAAAGCTAAAAAGGAGCGGAGCTTGCGAAGCGACTGTAGCTTTCTTATTTACGAAGAACATCCAATATGCACTCTAACCGGCTTAGTGCTCCGCCCACTTGCGTTTTATAATATAAAACGACCAGTTTATATAAAATCTGTTCCATTAAGATTTGAAACCTGAAAATTTGAAAAATCCTCGTCGGTGTTTGGCTTAAAAAAATTGGCGAGCACTAATCCGTATTCCAAAGAATTAAAGCAATGCAACTTGGAAAAGCCGACATTACTAATTTAATAACGCAATATTACTGAAAATATACTGCAATAGACCGCCAGCTCATTAAAGGTCGAACGACCTTCTAACTTTAAAATTTACTTATCAATCAAAGATCATATGTCTAATAAAAATAAAGACCGTATTACTAATAAAGCAGTGCCCATACTTTTATAAATTAAAGGCTATAGAAATGTTGTTTTTCCATAATCAAATATGTTAAAGATAATATCATCTGCTTAGCAGCAGCTGTCTAAGATTTATTAAGAAATATTTTTATCGACTGCATATTTTAGGTTATACTGTTAGAAGAAACATGGGGAGAATTGTTCCTGCTATGTTCTATCCAGTGGTCGATGCCGATGGAAGCATGCCCGTTGCTAGGCAACCTAGAACATAACCAATCAAAATCCGGGTCCTTGGCTGCTGACATCCGGGCACTTCAGGAAATATTTTCGCGGTTCAAGGTCATTGGCGTTGACCCTGGAGAGTTTGCCTGCCTGAAAGCCGTGTCATTATTCAAGCCAGGTATGTTAGAACTGTCGAGTCTTTTTAAGTATTAGTTGTGATAAAATCTGACATCAAATCACGATAAACAAATGGTAGATTCTCTTAAATGCCCTGTTTTTCTACGAGCTAACGTTTACGAAGTAGATGTAATGACTTTGCAAGATCATGTGATTTACAAACGAGACCACTGTTATCACTCTTCTGACGATCTCTTTCAGATTTATGTCATATAATATTTTATTACCCATACTTATAGAGTGACTGTCCAAAATCTTCATTTTGTTTCCATAGTGACTGTCCAAAATTTTCATTTTATTTCCATTTACAAACCTTGTTTTTTGTTTTAGACTATTTATAGTTCAATTAATTTATTGTTTCAAATAAATGACGCCAGTATGAAGGTTTAGAAGAAATTATTGTCAGATTTTTAATGCCAGTAGCGATAGAGTCGCTCGATGTACCAATGCATGTCAGGCCACTCTGAACACGGACTTTTTTTTACATTTTAGAATAAACTTAGTGATTACTTGATTAAGCTTGTATACTATTGTTTTCATTTATTTTTGTAACATTGAAATCATATCATCTGTACATATTTCAGAGACACGTGGATTGAAAGATCCGCATCAAGTTGAAAATCTACAGGATCAAGCCCAGGTCATGCTTGGTCAACATATTCGTGCACAACACCCCACACAGCCTGTCAGGTTTGACTTTAACTACCTTGTCACAGTTAAATGATTTTTATAACATTTCACAATTACTTTTTTCTTTTTAAAAATATTGAATAATGTATATACTACATTCATAACGAATGAGCATTTTATGGTTAATGGATTATATAAATATATATTCGTAAATTACAATACCTAAAGTTCAACAATAATTTGTTGTTGAAGTTTTTCTTTCTTTCCTTTTGTCGTGCTTTAGCTTTTCTTTTTATTTTCTCGTATCTCTGAAAGGGGAAATATTGAAATGAAATAAAAGATTAAAGCATTACCTGTAATATGATAACAAATAAAGTATCTGTGAATATTTTTTTCTTCAGATTTGGACGTTTACTTTTGATGTTGCCATCACTACGATTTTTATCAACTGAAAGTCTGGAGAAGGTGTTCTTTGGAAGGTCGATCGGAAATACACCCATGGAAAAATTACTTTGTGACATGTTTAAAAGTTAAACTCTTTTTTTTTGTTGGATTTTGTGGACCAAAGTGTATGTTTCAGGACATGTATATTATTGATCCAGGACGAATGATTACATGTAATTTTCATACCAAAACATTTTATGGAAGATAAAGGAAACAAATCACTTCCCAAATCAAGAAAAGAAAATACAAAACAAAACAAAGACCAAAATGAGAAACGTTTAACAACGTAGATGAAGGTGTGCCTGATCTTAACCACCAATATGACATTGTAAATAAAGTCCTGGTAAAATATTACAGATTTAAGACAAACAAAAAGATGACTTAATCCCTAGTAAGATAACAGTATTATATATAGATCTATATTTATCAAAAACATATTTTTCAATGCACGATGGTACCCTGTAAGACGAAAATTCTCAAAACAAAAGCTCCTGGTTACCTACCATCTTTACAAGTTTTGATCAAACGTCAAAGAATTGTGGATATCTACAAATGAAACGGTGTTGTTGACCCTTGGAATCTATAAAACTATAATAAAAAAATGGGTAGAGAGCACTCACCTAAGTGCGTCCGACCGAGATTTGACACGGCGGCAGAGGGGGTTTCATACCCTCCTTCTACTGAATCAGTTAAATAAATGTCTTACTTATCCTAATTTGTAAATGTTTACCCGTTGATAATCCTATATTTATCAAACATGTATGTCATTGTTACGTATGGATACATTTAGTTCTGGTAAAAATTTAGAAATTATAATGAGTTAATTTTTTTTTGTATTCCTTTGATGATGAGTGTAAACGGTGTTGTACTTGACGCTGAACATAATTAACTATGCTCCATGAAAATGTTTAGGAAATAAATAGTTTTGAAAACGGTACTTCAAATCAAGAATCTCTGTAAATTAGTCTCCAAGAACATCAAATTATCTTGTCAAATATCATATGAGAATAACATATTTACTTTAATGTTTCTATGTAGTTCTTTTTTTTCTAAAATGTTTACTTCATATAATATATATACGAACGAAATCTGCATTACATGTATTTGAATCTACCACATATTTTTTTCTAACCATAAATGTTTACTAAATATCTAATAAAAAAGAAATGCATCTTATTGTTTATTTCTGAAAATAACGTCAGAATATATGTCAAAGAAATCCTATATAATAGACGAACTAAGGCGTTTGTTTATTAAAAATAATTCTAATCTGAATCACTTTGTGAAAACACGAGAGGTCAACACTCTATTAATGCATATTATCATCTTATTTTTCCATAGTAAAACATTTTATTTTCAATTAATCTTATTTCGTTTGTCTAAACAAAGACACACGATAGTTAAATGTGTTTTTATTACAATATTGCTGATGCGTATAACTTTGGGATTTAAAAGCTCTACGCGTGTAAATTATCGAATTGTTTTTCGAAAGTGTTGTCAATGCGTTCATAAATCTTTCATTCATTTTCTTAAGTCATATTTAGATGCTAGTAAAAAATCAAACGATTAAGTCTTCGCCCTACCTTTCTGTCAATGAGAATGCCTCAATTTTTAATTTCTGTCAATATATTTCGCATAAACTGTACTCAATAGCGTTTATTTAACCAGTTTTAAACGCTGCATGTATCTGGTTTAGCATTACTTGCCGACAAAAAGTCGGTTAACGTCTCAGTTAGTCAGACGCTTATAAGAAACAAGAGGGCCATGATGGCTTGGGATCGCTCAAATGAGTTATGTTGCTAGAAATGTCACAATTTTTCAATACAAAAGTCATTAATTAGATCACATGGGGTTTGCCTTCTTTTACTCAAGCTGCATTATACTAGACGTCAGTTACAAAATGTTATATGCAAAATGCCTAAGCTTTTCACATAAGAAAAACATGTATTTTCATATGCATCTATAAGTCTATATGCCAAATTTTGACAACAGGGGCATTATTTTTAAAACTTTGTACTGGACCACAAGTTGATTCTAAATGCCAAATATCTAAGCTCTTGTTATTGTACTTTTCAAGAAGAAATCTTATATAAATATATGTTAACTAAGTGCATGTGACCCTAAAGGGTGGGGCTATTTTCGAAACCAGGGTGATAACTTATAAAACTTTGGTACACTAGGCAATACTACATGCCAACTATCTAAGCTCTAAGCATTTGTAGTTCTTTTTACAAAAGAAGACATCAATATATTTTCCTATGTAAGTCTAGATATAACCTTAGTGACCCCTGGGACGGGGTCAATTTTGACCCAGTGGCATGTTTTATATAACTTACATCGATGACCACAAGACGATTCTACATGCCAAATATTAAGATCTCAGACAAAAATATTTTAAACATGTTAACTATACACCACAGGTGGCAGTATCAGTGTTTGGACTCCCCACCCCTATCTGCCCCTGTACCCCTACTACAACCCTGAAAAAAAAGTTATAACTATAATTTTGATAGTGGAATTTTTTTTATATAATTTCATCGGTGGTTTTGTATTTGGTACCTTATAGTAAGCCTCAGAGTGTTGAATTATTTTTTTTTTCAGGGTTGTAGTAGGGGTACATGGGCAGACAGGGCAGATAGGGGTGGGGTGTCCAAACACTGATACTGCCACCTGTGTTATACACATGTTAACTGTATCTCTGTAAACTAAGTGACCCACAGGGCAGGTCTTTCATGATTTATATAACTTCACGTGGCGATACTATTGCCAAACATCTAAGCTCTGAGCATTGTACTTTCCGATTAAAAGATTTTTAACATACGTTTACCATCCATCATCAGTAACTGCGCTCTTAGGAAAACAGGCAATCAGTTTGTACCAATGGCAGCAAAGTATTATATACGAGCTGTAACAGAAAAAGTGTGTGCTTCTTAAAACTGCCAACCGTTGTTAAGTCTTGAACAGTAAAATTTTGTAGGCATGTCAACTTTAGCATCTTATATATTTTACATATCTATGCAATAAAAACATGTAGAAAGCCATAGGTTGGTCGAATTGAGACATAATGTTGCAAAAATTTAATAATGCATTGCGTGAAACAATTTGCTAAGCTTTTACGACTATAGCTTGTCCAAAATGGTTCCCTGTGTGGTCTTATGGAATTAATAAAGCGTTACCAGTGCCAAACAGTTCTCCAAAAGAACATTGTTAAAGTATCCTTTGAAAGTGTCATCTTGATTTCAACAAAACTTACACAAAACCGGACAATTTCTCTTTCTTTACACGGCGTCACGGAGAAATTTTCTTTTTATCTTGCTTCGAACTTTTGTTTGTTTGTTGTTTACCATTGAATTTTTTTATCAGTTATTACCAAAAGTCGTAGCCGGTTTGAATCTGATGAGTGTGATAGATCAATTACTTCTATATTATTTCTATCTCAGTTATATAGAGTTATATATTCAAGCATGTCAAGACAAAGGAGACGGTTTTATACGAATACTGGAAGAGAGATAACTCATATTAAAACTTAGTCAAATTATGTTTCTAGTTACCTCCCCTGAATGCAGCGTCTTATTTCATGGTTTAGTTAAAACATATTTATTCGCATTTCCATATCTATTCAAATGTATTTACATGTCTTTAAAACTTCACAAGCATCCGAATGACATCATGAGCAATGTTCACCCCATAATAACATAAAGTATACAGAATGAACCTGATAACCTAAACAGACATTCATCGGACACCGACGCCTTTTTGTCACGGCACCTTAACCAGTGTCTATTCTAGGATTCAAAAAACAGGGGCGATTTTTATTGAAAAGTGAGAATTTATTACATTTGTTGATCTTTTTCCTTCTTTCTCTATGTAAAATTTCCCCCATGGCCTCTAAAAAAAAAATGGGGGGGAAAATTCCCTAAAAATATGAGTAAATCCCCCCTCCTAGAATAGTTTACTGCTTTAATTAAAATGGAATTCGTACCCGTCGAGAAACCACGGGGCCCTTGAACTCGGGGGAACAAAGAATCACTCTCATTTAGCTCAAATGAGTCTTTTGGTATCTGGGGAGCTTACAAAAAAAAGTGTTAGATTTCAGAAAGATTTAAGGTGTGGGCTGAATGTGGGTGGAAGTTTTTGACGGGAATCAAAACCCAAAAAAATGCGACAGGGAAAAGTGGGGCGTTTTTGAAGTTGTGCCGGGATCTTTTTTACATGATGTGACAAAAATTGGGAAATTTAGTTTGCCTTTCTATAGTTTCATTTTAAAGAGGGGGCAATGTCTTTTATTTTTGTATAAAAAACACTTTTGCACGCATGTTTAGTTAATAAGATTGGAATGAAGAAGTAATGTATGTAATCTAGCTAGGTGTGTATGCGTGTCCCCACCCATAGACTGAGAACATTTTGAAATCTGGGGTTGAAAATGGTGTTACTTCCTAAAATTTCTAGTGCTGATTATGGTACCTTTTGGATGATTGAACAGCGCATTGTATTTTGTATAGATTAGTGTTACTTAGTAAGCATTAACAAAATAAAAGCACACTATAAGCAAGGCAGCTTAATCAGGGTCTTTCAAATGAGCTTTTTTTTTAATTTATGCATTGTTCAATGACAAAATAGAAATTGATTTTAAAGAGAAAAGATGTTTTAAATCGTATCATATAAAAATATTATAATATTTCACGATGTTATTTGCAAATATTTGATGTTTAATTTGGTGCATTTTCAAAATGGCGCCGATTATCGGCAATTATTCTGAACAAACAATCTATGTTTTTTTAACAAAGATGGCTTTAAAAAACATCATTTTCTGAAATATGTATCCCTTTTTCAAAAGTTTAAAGATTTTCAAATAACATCATGTCGTTAAAATTTTCATTTTTGCTCTTGTATTTAATATTCGCCCTTTTCTTGAACACTTACATAATTTGCTTATAGCAAACTATACCGATTTATACCGAGACATGTTTAATTGTAGCGAGAAGGGTTTACATAGCGTGTTCCAGACCATTCTATTTGAAATACCCTGGCTTAATTAACACTCGTGCACAGTCACGTGCAAATCATGCAAATGGGTGGACAACAAATCATAGTATCATATTAGCAACTTTCCTTCCTATAATTGATGATGGAATGAGTGGATGATATTTTTCTCCTTTTACTAAGAAAGAATGTAGATCTAACTTTGAATATTTTATCAGTATCTCAGTTTTGTTCAAAAGCAAAGTGCCTGTCATTCGATGCTATTGGTGCAAATACCAAGAAATACAACGTGGGAAATATGAAGTATGAGCTAAATTAGAAATAGAGGATATAAATTTGTTTAGTTCAGTGTAAGATCGTAATATATTTCACCGAGTGAGCACCAAAAGGTATATTTCTTAAATATAAACTTTTGGTGTTCACAAGGTGAAATATATTTCGATCTTACACTAAACTAAACAAATTTTCTTTTTATTATATGCAAAGAAACGTTTTAAAAAGACATTAAACCTAATACTGAATGAAAAACGCGCCAAATAATAATACAAAGTGACGTAATTTACGACGTCACGTCATTAAGTTGGTTCCTAGTACTGTGCACGCTGGTATTTCACTGAAACAACGTAAGGGGCTAAAATTCAAAACAGTGAAATTATCAAATTGATAATTTCACTGTTTAAAACAGTGAAATTACCAGTTTTATATCACTGATATATTTCTATAAACCACCGAAAAGAATGTGATAAAAAGAAATAAAAAGTGTTGTTTTAAGTACCGTTTTAACCGGATAACTTACGGTACGGCTTTAATCTGTATGACGGATACGGGAATTTAGCGCTTTTCACGGAAAATTTTTTAGGAAGGTACTAATTTGGGTTGATATGTTAAAGGTTTGTGTTGATTTTCTTTTCCAATGCAATGAAAATATTATTTTAACCTTCATTTAAGCATTAACAATAATAACAAACACCTTCATCCTTTCTAAAATGCATAAAGTGCCATTTATAAAAGTGTAGTAGTCACCGGATATGTAATTTGATACTTAATGACTGAGACATAATTTTATAACTTTGACGATGCACAAAGCCTTCACTGTTATATGTAAAATGTCAAATGATAACAAGCACTTGTTACTTCTAATTAGATTTTACTCACTACAGTGTTGAAGCAGTTCCTATAGACGTTTGAAAAAATAGTCATGTTTACAAAGTATGAAAAAATTGCTTTTTTCACAGATTCTAACATTTTTCACTCTTTAATTTATAAATAGATGTGAAGACATGAATTAAACGTGAAGTTCATTCCTGATAGCGAAAAGATGAGCTTTTAGCATTTGATAATTTAAGTGGCAATCTCCTGGATAAGACCGCTACGTATATTTCAAAAGTAAAACTTGTATATTAACCTTATATATACTTCTGGTTCAGACCCCAGGGTCTACATGTATTCCAGGATATACTGTAGCCATTTAAGCACTTTGTCTGATATATGTAACATTTATATTTTCTATTTGGATGGCTTACTAGCACACAAACTAAACAAGACCCGAAGGATGGTTTATATATTTTATTATATGTGTTGCATCCAAGTATACACTCATAAACTCCCAAACATCAAGTAAACATACACACAGTAACAATAACGATATTTGATATTAAAGGCGTGGCTTATTATATCTTGTAGACTTGCTTACTACAGTATATACCAGAATACGGTCTTTAGTGTGGTGCTCCAATCATTTTTTTTTTAGTCTCAGGAAGCCTTGCATTAACAGGAAGTCAAACTTGTTTATGCACTTTGATATTGGTTGCAATGCTTGACCAGTTCATAAATGTTTTGTTAATGAATACTAACCAATTAAGTGTCTGAAATTATTTTTTTTATTGTTCCCCACCAAATAAATAACTATGACGCACTTTATGTCATCTACAGGTAGATAGGGTGGACACAAGAAATAATACCATATTCGGAATGAAATAAATAAAATATTATGTGTTATTGGCAACCTGGCTCTACCTTAATAGCTAGAGAAACCTTGACAACTTTAAATATTTAGTGACAATCATTTTCTATGAAGTCAGGTTTGAACACACTGTGACACAGGAGATAAAAAACATATGATAGAATCTGTTGTACCCTTCCAATCATCTTTTGCATAACCAATAAGGTCAAGCCTTTTGATAATGCCTTTACCTGTTCATATAGATCTAACATGCGCAAAAAAAATCTTGTAGAACAGTCAATTTCCCCTTTTTAACAGTTCAGTACATAGTGTAAACCAACTAGAGTTTAGTTTAGTTTCAGCAGTTTTACTCCATTTAGATAATTTATCATGCTATTTTAAAGAAAATTTTTAGATTATCTGTTACAGATGGGTCATATATATCAATAACTAGGATCATATATAAGGAAGGTATTAAATCAGCTTGTGTCAGATCTGTGTTACAGGATGAATGAAAATACATGTATTTTATTAATATATTAAATCATTATCATTTACCATTTTTTATCTGTATTTTTTTCAGGTTGAGCGTCTGACTTCAAAGATGTAACTTAAAGAAAACACCGGTACGCTACTAATTATAGAAGTTTGATGGTTTTGAATTCTCTGGCACTCTAATTCTTTCTTTAATCTTTGAAAAAATGTGCTAATTCTGACTGTGAAGGAGAGATTAATGCATTTTTGATTTTTAGTTAGAAAAATCTTCAAACAATCCATACATTTAAAACATCTTGATACAGATGGAGATCATGTGTCTAGCCTGTATTTGAAATGACAAAAAAGCATTCAACTTTTTGATTAAAGAAATTTTTCATTAGTAAAATTTAAAATATGTTATTCATTTTTTGAAAGTTCGGAATCACTCTTTCCCCTCTACAATAAAAGATCGGGGAAACGCTATCTATATTTGGAATATCAGCCACTGTGAAAACATTATATCAACATTTTACCTATACAGACATGTGAAATTTAAATATAGTTACAAATCTCAACTTGCCGACAAACTTGACAAAATCCTTGCATTTAATACCAATCCTTCAGCAATATTTTATGATCTATATGAACGCTCCCCATTATACAATGACCTGAAGGAATTAGACAGGAAGGCCATAACTAATGACAATGCCAGGGAGTTTCTTATGAAACCAAACACAGCTTTAAACTATAAGACTCACGGGATTAACGTTGGATTAAGTGATCTGGTAGCTTTAAACAGACAAGTTCCCGATTCAAGACCATACGGGTTTGTATGAAGTTTGTTCTGTCTTTTGTAATGTTGTAAATTTGTATGTAATTATTGATGAAGTTTGTCCTTAAGTTACTTTGATACATAAACATTTTTGTCACTAGACTTGTATTTTTTTCTGCTTTCAATGAATATATTAAGTTAGCCTGCTGACAGAAACAGATTCAACCCTTGTGCCATCTTTCTGTGGTCTGCTGTATTTCATAATTTGCCCTAAAAATGATGAATGGTTTTGTCTAGATTGAAAGATGGGCAAATTCATCTTAGGTATTGAGCATGAAAAAGGTTACAATTTACCTCATGGGAATTTCCATGAAATATACAATGAAATATATACATAATATAATGGTTAGTCTGTCACTGTCCTTTTACCAGACAAGAAGGAAATAAAAACAGAGTTTATAAACTTAAAAAAAAACCCAAAGGTGTCAGAATAATGATAATCATTGATGTAATAATACAAGGGAGAAAATACTAAATACATTTCAACCCAACTAGATACATGTACATGTATTCGTTTTTTTAAGAATTTACTTGTTGTTTGACATTATAATTTTCAAGGTAGCTTCCATTGAATTGTTTTCAGGTACAGTTATCCAAATATCTTTAAAAACACTGAGGCATCAATTTATATAAGTTATTGTTTCTTTGTTACAGGTGTTCAGACATTGAGTATCCATCTGACTTGCCAACAGTTGGCATTGTAATTCCTTTCCATAATGAATGGCCATCACTTCTGCTAAGAACTATTTTCAGCATTATCAATAGAACTCCAAAACATTTACTGAAAGAAATAGTTCTAATTGATGATTGCAGTAACCTGCGTAAGTTCTTTCAAAATCTCTGTATTCTTTTCTATGATTGATTGTTTTGTCACAATGTAATGGTCATATGACATGTTTGAAGACCAAATTTACTGGATGATACAACTAGATATCTCCCTCTTGTGTAAGAATTCAGAAGTCTCTGTTCAGATTCAAACCCTTAGATGTTAGGGACAAGTAATAATAATCTTGGATTGTAAATATTATTTAAAGGGTTCTGTAGTCTTGTTTAATTTTTGCTGTGTTGAGCTTTTTGTGGAAAAAGCTATGTTTTGATATTATCATGTAAGTATATTTATACTTTCAGCCAGTCTCCAAGCCCATTTTCAAGGTCTATTGGAGAAGTATTTTCCGAAAAATCTTATCAAGTTAAAAAGATTGAGGAGTAGGTCAGGATTAATTGTAGCTAGAATGGAAGGACTGAAACTTGTTACAGCTGATTGTGTCTCCTTCTTTGACAGTCACATGGAAGTGAATGAAAATTGGTAACATTTTGGAGAATTTTATATTGGTTGTTTCTCAACAAACGCACAGGAATATCTAGCTCAAGGGTACTGTAACTGATAAAAGTAGTAATAATGTTTTACAAAGTTTCCGCTTAACAGTTACCTAAGATCTGAATATTCCTAAGTGCGACAACAGCCTGTGTTTGTTTGTTGTTTTTGCTAATTTAACATAAATAATATAATACATATTTAAAAAGTATGAAAAGTGATGTTTTGATATAGTATTTTCTTTGTCGTCAATAAACCATTTCATTGCCAGAGGAGAAGTGGTACGCCCTCTGATTAAACCTTCGTGCCTCTCCCTATTGAGCTAAGCTGGTGAACATAAGTATACTATTCTAAAGTGCAGTTTTAAAACATTATTCTAGATACTTATTTAAATTACTATTTTTAGCATAAATTATCTTTGATGTAATTTATAGCTAGCACACTAAATTTTGAACACTCAAACATTTTTAGACATTAAATTCACTATTTTTTTTCAGACTCTCTGATTACAGAGTTTTTACTACTTAATTTATTCTTGAAATATCATTTAGGTTGCCTCCCCTTTTAACAGAGATCAAGAAGAATCCAAAGACGGTTGCCATGACGCAGTTAGATTACATCAACAAGGATTCGTTATCTTATGATTTTGATGTAGGATATCGTACACGATATGGATTCGATTGGAGACTTTTATTTTTTGAGACGTTCTTCAGAGCAGACACGTTGGATGGGAAGACAGATACTGATCCTGTACCGTAAGACTTTGAAATATTTTTTGAGCAGTTCTTAAATTTATTAAAGATATTCTTACTTAATTGAATAATTTTCCAATTACGAGCCATTTAAGTTCATGTGAAAGAGTAATACACATCAACCTCAGGACATTTTTTTGCATTATTTACCCATGTCTATAAGTTGCAGTCAATACTAGACCAGACCTTCATCAGGAATAAGTGTAATATTATTTATAAAGCTGTTTATTTGAATCAATACTGAATATTGTTTAAAAAGTAAAAGCTTAACATACACTTAATAATTGAAATGTTTTAAAAGAATGCTAAGCTTTAGGTTTTACTTTCTTTACATTTATTTATGTTAGTTTTACAGGTACTATTGAAACACCAATTTTATGCGCATTTATACCATATCTGATGGAGCATAGATTAAAGAAAAAACAACAGAGATTTATAATGTTGTTTTATATAATAAATTGTTTGTTTTAATCTACTGAATTTCTCAAATAGACCTGCCAAGCTTCCAGTTTTTGGGACTGTGCAGTATTTATTAAAATCAATAAGTGGCGGCATGTTTGAATGTGTCACACTTTTAATCTAAAACTTGCTAGTCACATGGGTTCAAAGCCCGTCAGAGACAAGTCATGTTTCTTTGAGCAAGAAACTTCACACTCATTGCTCAGTACTGGTTGAATGAAAAGTGTGTCTATAATATGCTTACAGCTTCCTACACAATCCAACTAAAATAAATTCTGTATAAACCAATTAAAATTAATTAAAAGATGTTAGTCAGCCAACAGTATTGAGCCTGGTCACTGACTTCTGGTCTGGGTCTATATTGATAGTAAAGGCTAATCACTTTTATAAGGATTATATTCTGTATATCAAACTTATATAAAAATGTTTTCAGAGGAGTTGTAATGGTAGGACCTGGTGCTGTGGTAAATGTGCAATATTTTAAAGAGCTTGGTGGATTTGATACTGGCATGAAAATCTGGGGAGGAGAAAATCTCGAGTTTCCATGGAGAGTATGTGATTTAGATTACTAGTCATGAAACAAGCTCTGTTTATAGTTTTATATATAAAATTTATGTCATTTATTAGCTCGACTTTTTTTTTTTTGAAAAAAAAAGTAGAGGTATTGTTATAGTCAGGTCGGCGTTGCCGTTGCCGTTGCCGTCTCCGTTGCCGTTGCCGTTGCCGTTGCCGTCCGAAAACTTGTACCTGGATCATAACTTTTTTATTTCTTGGTGTATTGTCTTCATACTTGGCCACAACAACCCTTGGGACAAGACCTTTCAGTAGACCACACTAACCTTGACCTTCATCCATAAATGACCTTGACCTTCAAGGTTAAAAGTCCAATTTTTGCTTGTTCATGCTGTTATTGGCTGTTACTTTGTTATTTTTGAATGGATTGTCTTCAAACTTGAACATAATAATCTTCAAGGATATCCTTAAAAATAACCAGTCAGACCTTGACATTCACTCATCAATGACCTTGACTTTGAAGTCAAATTATTGAAATTTTTTTCATTTTTTTGGCTATTATTGGCTGTAACTTTTGTTATTTTTGAATGGATTGTCTTCAAACTTGAACATAATAATCTTCAAAGATAACTGTTAAAAATATACCGAAAGACCTTGACCTTCACTCATTAATGACATTGCCTTTGAAGGTCAAATTATTGAAATTTTCATTGTTTTGGCAGTAACTGACTGTAACTTTGCTATTTTTGAAGGGATAAACTTCATATTATAACAGAACATTCTTAAGGACCAGACCTTGTTGTTAATCAAACCCAAATTTGCTTGGGCTCTTTAATGACCTTGACCTTTAAGGTTATATTACTGAATTTTCTCAGATTGTGCATTTATCGGTGTGTGTATGTATAGTATATGTATTATATATAAATATATATATAAATGTGTGTGTGTTATATATATACATATATGCAGGTATATATATATATATATATATATCTATATATGTATATATATATGCATGTATATATATATATATACATATATAGATATATATATATATATCAAATATATATATATATATCAAATATATATATATCAAATATATATATATATATATATATATATATATACATATATATTACATGTATATAATTGCGTCATTTTTTTATTTTTAGAAATTGCGTCATTGTTGCTATTTTTAGAATTTGCGTCATTTTTTTCTATTTTTAGAAATTGCGTCATTGTTGCTATTTTTAGAAATTGCGTCATTTTTTTCTATTATTTAGAAATTTCGTCATTTTTGTTCTATTTTTAGAAATTGCGTCATTGTTTCTATTTTTAGAAATTGCGTCATTGTTTCTATTTTTAGAAATTGCGTCATGTTTTTTCTATTTTTAGAAATTGCGTCATTTTTTTCTATTTTTAGAAATTGCGTCATGTTTTTCTATTTTTAGAAATTGCGTCATTGTTGCTATTTTTAGAATTTGCGTCATTTTTTTTCCTATTTTTAGAAATTGCGTCATTTTTTCTATTTTTAGAAATTGTGTCATTGTTGCTATTTTTAGAAATTGCGTCATTTTTGTTCTATTTTTAGAAATTGCGTCATTTTTTCTATTTTTAAGAAATTGTGTCATTGTTGCTATTTTTAGAAATTGCGTCATTTTTTCTATTTTTAGAAATTGCGTCATGTTTTTCTATTTTAAGAAATTGCGTCATTGTTGCTATTTTTAGAATTTGCGTCATTTTTTCCTATTTTTAGAAATTGCGTCATTTTTTCTATTTTTAGAAATTGTGTCATTGTTGCTATTTTTAGAAATTGCGTCATTTTTTTTCTATTTTTTAGAAATTGCGTCATTTTTTCTATTTTTTAGAAATTGCGTCATTGTTGCTATTTTTAGTAATTGCGTCATTTTTTTTCTATTTTTAGAAATTGCGTCATTTTTTTCTATTTTTAGAAATTGCGTCATTGTTTGCTTTTTTAGTAATTGCGTCATTTTTTTTTTCTATTTTTTAGAAATTGCGTCATTGTTTTCTATTTTTAGAAATTGCATCATTTTTTTTTCTATTTTTAGAAATTGCGTCATTGTTTCTATTTTTTAGAAATTGCGTCATTTTTTTCTATTTTTAGAAATTGCGTCATTTTTTCTATTTTTAGAAATTGCGTCATTGTTGCTATTTTTAGAAATTGCGTCATTGTTGCTATTTTTAGAAATTGCGTACTGTTGCTATTTTTAGAAATATGCTTAATGTTTCTATTCATATATATACAAAATATATAAACAAAACTAATGTGACAAGACAGACCAACTAAATTTATAAAAAGGAAACATCAATATATGTTCAAACCTTTCTATGTTTGCGTTTAGAAAAAGTAAAAAGTCGAGCGTTGCCCCCGCCCGGCGGTGGCTCTTGTTAAAGCTGAACTCCAGATGATTTATAAATTTAAAAAATTAAACTTGAGAGTGAAATATTCACAATCCATGAGAAGATGAAAATTATTTGTAATTTCTTTCTTATTTTTTTTCATTTTTTTTTTCAAAAATCAACACAATTTCATTGGAATTAGCATTAGTTTAGAAGCATGCTTTTTTAAACATATATATATCAATATGTTAACTAGAAACTATCTAGCATGCATACCATAGGTTGGCAATTCTACATGTACAAGATTATTTACTTGTGTTAAATAAGCTTTTGCAGGTTATCAATTGCCACTCTATTAATATAATATGATTAATAATACTGTATTTGTAGAAAAAAACTTGATGTATTAAAATATTTGGTGTATGTATAGTATGTACATGTATATAGGATATTTGTTTGTTTTAGAGAATATTGAATGCATTTTACTAAGATGTAAAAAGGTTTTAAACATTTTCAAGAGCGCAAGAGAGATACTTGTATGTTGCATATTTACTCGAAAGTTGAAACAAACACATTTGAGCCGTGCCATGACAAAACCAACATAATGGGTTTGCGACCAGCATGGATCCAGACCAGCCTGCGCATCCGAGCAGTCTGATCAGGATCCATGCTGTTCACTTACCAACCCTATTACAAATATAGAAACTGATAGCGAACAGCATGGATCCTGTCCAGATTGCGCGGATGCGCAGGCTGGCCTGGATCCATGCTGGTCGCAAACGCACTATGTTGGTTTTGTCGTGACGCGGCTCAAATTTTTCTTTTTACCTGTATCTCTTATTGTATTGTATAGTTTTGGCATTAAAATAGGATAAGATATTTACCATACATTAGTGCCAAGTGTTGCAAATTTAAAGTGTCAATATCCATGAACATCTTTATCTGTTTAGGTCTTGTTTTATTTTGCTATATCATTCAAAGTTTACTTGTAAAACACATTGTTTTATCTTCGAATCAATTATCATTAGTAAGACATGTATATAATGTTTTAATTAGGTATGGTTGTGTGGTGGACAGATGATTCATGTTCCTTGTTCAAGGACTGGACATATAGCAAGGTCTCAGCCATATCATTTCCCTAATGGAAGACAGGACACTGAAAACCATAACTATAAACGAGCAATAGAAGTATGGATGGACGATTATAAAGAATATGTATATGAAGCTAATCCATTAATTAGGGTAGGTGAAGATTACACAGTATTTAGATTAAGCTAATCTTTTTATAAGGTTAAGTTTTTTTTTATATAAGGTCAATTGTGAAACAAGTTCTTGCGACTTATATTAATCACAATTGAGTCTGATTCCTGGAACCAACCAGTACTGGTGTTGTATGAAGAAACATGGTTGTGACCCATGGGCTCGAACCCACCTTAACAACTACATGTAGGCAACTGAAAATGTTAAGATAAGATTAGTGTGTGTGTTTGTGATTAGAATAAATATGATAAAAATATATAAATTTATGATAGAAGGACTGGAAAATTTATTTATAAGAAAGAGAGAAATAGAATCCCTAAAGAACGCCCAAATATCAAAATTGAAAGTGTTGCAGACTTGGTTTGATTGAGCCTGTTCATTGACAATACTGGAAAATGCAAGCTTCTGCCCATGCTCCCTGGCTACAGCTTAAGCATTAAAATGTGGCAATGGTGGAATTTTCAATTTAGAAACATGTGCAGATGTCTTCAAAATCATTTATTTAACTTTGTTAAAAATTCTATGTTCTTTTATATTTCCTAGTCAGTTGATGCTGGAGATCTTACAGAAAGATTGGAATTGAAAAACCGTCTTCAATGTAAGCCATTTAAATGGTTCCTAGACAATATCTGGCCAGAACTAAATGCATATAAAGAGAATAATCAAGCATGGGGCTTTGTAAGTTATGTTTTGTACAATCTTTCATGTTTTCTTTATTATATGTAAGCTGTAACTGTTTTTATATCTAGTCATTTTGATAGCATGTTTTTGTTGTTGTATACATAATTGCTGAGTTAAATAACTGGATTTAGCATTTTTTCTGGGACTTTTGGTTAGAGCCTAAATTCTCAACTGAAATTACTCGGTAGGTAACATACAAGAAGTTGGAAGAAAACCTGATTTTAGACTTTTTTTGTTTAGACACTGGCATAAAGCTGCTAATCTTTACAAATAGGAAAGAAATAGAATGTTCATAGTGATATTTACCTCTGTTCATGGAAATATGTTTTTTACGAAAAAGCTCAGCTAACAAGTATCTAAGTATTGATCTTAAAATAAGTATGAACTTATGCCACACCAAACTGATAGATTTGCAGCAGGAATTTTTACATTTTCAAGTTGTAAATTGATCATAATGTTCTTTTATAATTTTGTGTTTTATATGTTTTACAGGTACAGAACAGTGCTACTGGTTCAAACATGTGTCTAGATAATGATGATTACCTGTTTTCTATACCCAACCCTGTCAAAGTTAAACCATGTTCAGAAAATGTCATTTATCAGGTAACATTTTAAATAATTCCTACCAGCCTGTAATTAGCTAGAATATAATTATCTAAATGATTTCATTCATCAGGTATTATCTTATTTTTTCTAACAGGCTGTCAAATCTAAAACCATGTTCAGGAACATTAGATAACATATCTTACCCTTATGTCATGTATGTAGCTAAACTGTTTTTTAAACAGTCATTTATTTGATGCTACATTTTTTTAAATATTTAAAAATGTTTTGTCATGAACCTAAAAACTAAGCATTCTTATAGTTGCATTAACCTTTTTTAATTGTGTTATTGAAGATTTGATGATATTTTGTTTAGAAATTAAGATTTTTAAAGGAAAACCCAATAGCAATACTAAAACTCTTATATGAATTCTAATATTTAAATGAAGATTATACATGTAATCAGTTAATGCATGTGGCATGTGCACAGGCAGTAAAAATGTCAGAGTGTTAAACTTTAATAAAACAATAGTTGTTATCTGGAACACGGCAAATGTGGGAGTTAATATTCCCATCAAATAAGGGTGTGCAAACAAACTTTTAATGTTATTTAATGAGGAAATATATTCTTAAATTCAGTCTGCTACATAAAGAAATGTTTGTTGATTTTCTGTTGATGTTTTAATGACCCAAAGCAAGAGTTTTCCATGGAAACATAATTATTCTTTCAATTTTGCCAAAAGGAGGTTGCAGACATTTAAGCTTTAAAATAACTCATTTTGGTTGTCTGGATTCAAAAATAAGAACAGTAGATGTAAGATTTACATCTGTTCATATATTAAATTTTTTTGTAGTTTTGAGTGTATTTTTCTTTTGTTTCAGATGTTTTCCCTTACTGCTGAAAATTTATTTCGTTCATTATTGCAATGTGTGATTGTCAAGGGAACATTCCTTAGTGATAAACAACCAAAACTTCAAGGTTGCTTTGAGGGGCCCCATGAAACTTGGACACACAGCGGAGTAAGTATGAACTTAGTGCATGGCAATAAATTTTGTTCCATTGTATACTTCTACTGTTTTAAATGTGGAGCTGAAGGAACACTACTAATTAGCCATTTAGTACACGCTTTATTTACTTTTAGGCACATCATTCATATTATTTACATTGATATTGTCTGCTGTAAGATTAATTTATTTTGCATTTTACTGTTTCTCAAATTTAAGAACACACAGAAATGTCTTCATTAAAGAAAACCATGCAATTTCATGCACAAGTTTCCTCACCTGTCAGCAAGTTAGAAATAACCTTAGTAAGCAAATGGTGGGTCCCCACCTGGCGCAAACTTTTCTTAGACCCAAGGGCAAACGCTTGTTCAGAATTAAATGAATACTACCTTTTGATCTTGCATCCTGCTCTACTATAACATTTACAGCAGCAATAATTTGCCTTGATAACCAAGTCTGTAGGCAACTGAGGTTGTATGCCTACTCGAATGATAGTCAGCTTTGACAATGTCCCAGTTTAAAAGCTTTGACCCACCTAAAGATTGTACACTTTGAAATGACATGTGATCCATATATGCCACACAATTCAATATACATCTGCATTGAAGCTTTATCAAGTCTAATGAAACATTAAGTGTAGCTTCGAATTTCAGTTTTGTTGTCCATTGTATAATATGGTCAGTAAACTGGTCAGTGTATATGACTGCTTTTAATTTTTTTAATCGGAATATCCCTGTCATTTTACACGCAAATGGTATGAAACAAATTATTATAGTTAGTTATTCAAGTGCAATGAATTATTTTACAATACTAAGAGAATTAAACTACTGAAACCTATTAGTGACATACCTTAATGAATGGTCCTGGTAGTTATTATTCTATTATTACATGTATATAAATTTCTTATTATTATAACACTTGACCGTAATGAAGTATGCACAAATATGTTAATATGCTACTGTGGCAGCCCAAATGAAGTTTTGGTATAAGTGTTCTATGGACACATTTCTTATTTATTGCTGTACAATGTTTCTTTAAAGAATTATAATTGGCATAAGACATTATTTTCTTCATCTTTGTTTACAGCCTGGACTGTTGAAACATGATAATTCAGAGCTGTGTTTAGAACTGACCAGGTCTCTGTATCTAGTGATGAACTTATGTGATGAGAAATCTCCGTGGCAGAAATGGACGTTCACACATTACTCACCTGCTCATAACAAACGCATAATTGTCTAATAATAAATTTTGTATCATATCTTTGATACGCTTGCCATTTGTAAATAGGTCTGCATGTACAAATGTATATTGTTTCTTTTGTTATTTTTTTTGTATAAATACATGTAAATGTATATAAGAGGCACTAATAATATAGTCTATATCTTTACAACTAGTACAACTCGTTTTAGAGTTTTCACTCAAACTTATGCAGAGGTTAAGTTATCTTAAGTTTTTTTTCTTTCTTTGTTTTTTGATGCGAAGATCATGGTTGTGTACTGTTATAAATTAAATTTTTACTCAATTGCTGCCCTTTTATACATATTTAAGTACTCATTTTTATTTTGTTTTTATAAGTGTATATATTTCTATTGTTTTTGTTTATTGTTGAGAATTGTCATGTGTACGCAATTATCTAGATACTACCAAAGTTTGAGAGAAACAATTTTTTTCTGTGTTGGATATGTACAAGTACAATGTAAATGTAAATACATGTAAACTAAAGTAATAAAATTTAGGTGCTCCTTAGCAAGTGGTTAAGGTTGTTTCCTTGAACCACTTGCCTATCACTGCTGTGGGTTCGAATCTCAACAGGGACTTTGGATTCTTTCTTTTGTGGAAGCTATCCATCTAGCTTACAGAATGTCAGTGGTTCTACTTTGGTTCCAACTCTTGGCAGAGGGGCACCTGTGGTCTACATCCACCACTTAAGCTGGAAAATCACAATTTATATACATGTATATACCTTAACAGTGTTGATGTGATGATAACACATGAAAACAGAGAGAAAATATAAAGTAGTTGCTAATAGCAACAGTTGTGTAAACAAAGGTTTGTAGTAAATAGAACAAATAAGTATGTAACGTTTCCTTATAAAATGTTTAACTGCTTTTTGTTAATGTTTACAGTTAAATGAAGATGGAATTGAAAATCTTGGTAATTTAATTTGGAAAAGTTTATTTGGTACCTTAATTGGTACAGAATGTTCATTTTGCTGTTTGTAAGAATTTGTTTTCTTTTAATATGTTTTGTTCATTTTTTTAATTCATTTATTTAAAAGAATCATAATTGTAGCTATTCTTTTCACCTATCATAGAGGTCATCATAAAAATGTGTTGAGATTTTTCATGCAAATTTGTATCTTATTAAAAGGACATATGAGCCGTGTCACGACAAAACCAACATAGTGTGTTTGCGACCAGCATGGATCCGGACCAGCCTGCGCATCCGCGCAGTCTGATCAGGATCCATGCTGTTCGCTTACAAACCCTATTACAAGTAAAGAAACTGATAGCGAACAGCATGGATCCTGATCAGACTGCGCGGATGCGCAGGCTGGTCTGGATCCATGTTGGTCGCCAACCCATTATGTTGGTTTTGTCGTGACGCGGCTCATATGTATTCCAGGCCAGTCTGCACATGTATGCAGTCTGACCATGCTTTAAACTGTTAGTAGCTCAACTTTCATTTTGAAATCCCTCAAATGTTGAACTGTTTCAAATTCAAAGCAGGGCAAATCCGTAGGTTAAAGTTAATTGATTTACCTGTATGCTACCCATATATAAATAAGGGCTGCACTTCATAGAAAGTCTTAAGTCTGAAATCAGTCTTTAGACCAAAACTAAGACGATTTTGCGTTTCAAAGAAAATGTCCTAACTTATGATGACTCCTATGTTATGACTTAATTCCTGAATAGCAATGCTAATGGGATGGGCATTTACAAATTGTGAATAAAAGGGCTTGTCATTGTATTTCTTAACTTTTCTCAGAAGAACGCATTTATTTATAGTCTACAGTATTTGAATGGGGATAAAAAATTAATTGAAATGGTCTTAAGTTAGTCCCAAAGTTGTTTTTATGTCCTAAGGCTAAGACTTAGTATACGCGTAGGACTTTCTATGAAACACATCCCTGGGACTTTAACTCGGACCATGCTATATTTGGCTGCTTAAACAGGGCATGATAATATTGTAGAGCTGAACATGATAAGGAAACAGGGACATCTACATTTTAATGTTAATTATTTGTATAATGTAAACATGTTTTAAACATTTTACTTAAAGTTTACAGTTGTATTTTCACAGATATAATAATTTTAATCAAAACACATTTATATGTACTTATGTCTTTAAGACCCTCATATGTTTTTGAACTTTTTGAAAGTTTTCATAATGTGACAAATTCTATAAAACAAATATGTGTTATTCTTAATAATGTATTATTATTATTGAGCCCTCTTTTTGTTAAATTATAATATTTTTGCATTTGTTGTTAAACTGCTTAAAGAGATCAGTTGTTGTTTTTCTATGCATTTAGATATGTAGTTTATATGTATATCTAAAATGGCAATTAATCATCATACCATGAATTCACAAAGAAAATATCAGGAACAGGATCATACGATCCTAATTACTTTTATTGTTTAATGAAACTGAAATGTAACATGTAAGGCTAAAATAATATGGTACATAAGCAAAATGAAACCGATTTTTTTCTGATAACAATACATGAGACTATGTTGAGTAATATTGAAAATTGTATATACATGTATAAAAATATGTTGAGTAATATTGAATATTATACATATATGAGATTCTGCAATTGAGACTTTTTGGAAGCTATCAAGCTAGCTTACGGAACATCTTTGGTTCTACTCAGGTGCCCATTTTTGTCTGAAATAATGCACAAATGTGCTCCAAAGTTCTTAGTCTACCAGTGAAGCTGTAAAGTCGCCATATGATCTTTACTGTGTTGGTGTAACAAACTAACTAAAAAAGATCTTGATCCTGTTCCTTAAATCTTAGTGAATACTGGACCAGAATGTCAGTGGCTTGATATTCCATGTTTTTTTCTTCATGATGATAAACTACAAATGGTTGTGTCCTTTATTATACAATTGTATATACTTGTACATTACTGTATAATAAATTCTGTGTAATCTTTTATTAATTACAGAAATCTATTTTTATGACATTATTCATGTCAGGATATATAGATGTACATGAATAAGAGGTTTTTAAATGCATTTAATTTTTTTATTTCCATAGTTAAAAAACAAAGGTGTTTACAATTCAATAGTGCAATAGAACTGCAATTCCAATAGGTCAATTATGTCAATCAAAAGCTATACATAGCATATGGTTTGTGAAATGTTATATATACATACAGACAATAGATAAATTTCTATTTGATTTGATTTGAATAGAACTGCAACTGATTAATAATAGTTCAAGAACAAAACATTTCACATATCATTACTTTATCCCTTAACATGAATCCTGCTGAAACCCAAAATGGTTGACCTTTGACACCTGAGTATACATCCGAACTGGTGCAGCCAAATCAGTATACAGTCAGACCAGTGAAGTCAAACCTGTATACAGTCAGACCTGTGCAGTCGAACCTGTATACAGTCAGACCAGTGCAGTCGAACCTGTATACAGTCAGACCAGTGCAGTCAAACCAGTATACAGTCAGACCAGTGCAGTCAAACCAGTATACAGTCAGACCAGTATACAGTCAGACCAGTGCAGTCGAACCTGTATACAGTCAGACCAGTGCAGTCGAACCTGTATACAGTCAGACCAGTGCAGTCAAACCAGTATACAGTCAGACCAGTGCAGTCGAACCAGTATACAGTCAGACCAGTGCAGTCAAACCAGTATACAGTCAGACCAGTGCAGTCAAACCAGTATACAGTCAGACCAGTGCAGTCAAACCAGTATACAGTCAGACCAGTGCAGTCGAATCTGTATACAATCAGACCAGTGCAGTCGAACCAGTATACAGTCAGACCAGTGCAGTCGAACCAGTATACAGTCAGACCAGTGCAGTCGAACCAGTATACAGTCAGACCAGTGCAGTCGAATCTGTATACAATCAGACCAGTGCAGTCAAACCAGTATACAGTCAGACCAGTGCAGTCGAATCTGTATACAATCAGACCAGTGCAGTCGAACCAGTATACAGTCAGACCAGTGCAGTCGAACCAGTATACAGTCAGACCAGTGCAGTCTGAATAATGTATGTGTTGTATTTTGATACTGAAATCTCTTAATCCAAATTTGATTGTTCCTAATTGGAAGCTGATCAAATCCATTAATAATCAGCAGGTGATGTGTTAAAAATAACAAGCATCTATGTAAACCAGATCTGTTATTTTTAGACAAGTATTTGTATTTATTATTTCTCTTAATCCAAATTTGATTGTTCCTAATTGAAAGCTGATCAAATCCATTAATAATCAGCAGGTTAAATGTTTAAACTAACAAGCATCTATGTAAACCAGATATGTTATTTTAGACAAGTATTTATATTTATTATTTTTCCTTATGTGCTGTTTAAAAAAATAAGACATAGTCCCAGGAAAAAATAATTTTTTATGTAAAAGCCTTGTTTATTTTCATATTTCATTTCATACTTGAATTCCATTGGTATTGTATTGTTCTTGTTTTTACTCTGTTGCAATTTTACTTTATATTAATTGTCCATTCATGGTACATTTTTATTTGTAAAATTTTATACATTTACATATTTATGAAAGCACATTGTTCTTTTTCATTATGTCCTCACTTGTCAGTTCAAAAACATTTTTCAAACTGCTGGCACATTCCATTATTTATTATTTTATGATACTCTTAATTAACAAAAATAAAATCTTGTTTTATACATAAATTCGTATATTAGGTATCTTAAATATACACTGTATATATGCTATTACTTATGTCAAGTTTTAAGGTCATGAAAACCATTTTGATATGTGTCCCATTTCTTTAAAGTCCCAGTTTTGTACATTTCCCACAAACCATCACTGTTACTACTTAAATGTCTATGGTTGGGGAGATAAAGATGTCAGGTCCCGTGGTCAACTCCTCACTCGGGTGAGGGTGGCAAGCTTGAAGTTAAGATGCAGGCTATAAGGTGTCTGTCCCCAACTTGGGCTTGGGAGGTTCGACACCTACTCCGGTCACAGCCATGTTTCACCAAAATACACTTTTGGTTAGTTCCAGGAAACAGACATAAATGTGTTAAGTGTAAAATGCAGGAATTTATTGTAACTATTGAGCTGAAATAAGCATGTTTGATCTGACCAGTGATATATGGTGATAAATTAATAGTTAAAACACATGCAGTATAATGCTGAATTATTTGTTCGTGACTTAATTTAACATTTGAATATTTGCTATAAAATTAGTGTGACACAAACAACATATATTGCAAATTAACCATTTAAAAAGGAATAAATTTAGAAAAAAATGAATGCAAATAAAATAAATAAAATAATAATGATTCAGTTGTTTCATAGCTTCTTTTCAGTTGACATTAGTGTCTGTTTTTATGTTTAATGTTTTTATGTTTTACTGTTGCTTCTGAAGAGAAAATTTGAAACATATTTTGCATAATCCTCCAAAAAAAATACCACTACTTATATTGTAACCAAACAGTTCTTCCTTTACATTATTTTTTGCATTTGAATATGAAATAGATGAACTACTTTTATAGGTGCTATTTGTGAAATTAATCTTTCCTGTTAACTTCTATGTATGAATATATGTATTTTTTTAAGAGTACAATTTATGTTAGAATGTTTTGTTCAACAATTATTGAAATCGTTGGTTACTGAATTGATTGCAATAACTATAATATTGAGCCACGTCATGACAAAACCAACATAGTGCTTTTGCGACCAGCATGGATCCAGACCAGCCTGCGCATCCGTGCAGTCTGATCAGGATCCATGCTGTTCGCTTACCAACTCTATTACAAGTAGAGAAACTGATAGCGAACAGCATGGATCCTGATCAGACTGTGCTTATGCGCAGGCTGGTCTGGATCCATGCTGGTTGCAAACGCACTATGTTGGTTTTGTCATGATGCGGCTCATATGTATGTTTGTACTTTTTATACAACAGTTTTATGAGGAGGTTTGTTATGTTAATATTCTTGTGTAATTCATACATCGATATATGTCATAGTCTTGCAACAGGGTGCTCTGAGGATCAGCGAGTTCATTTACAATGCCAAGAGCTTGTGCGTTTGGCATAAAGCAATGGATTTCATATAGGCAATCTAGGGCCATCATGGCCCTGTTGTATTAAATTTGGCTTGAATGTACATGTACATAAGAATCAGGAAATGAGGATTGACATATGCCATGATTTTACACTCATTGGTTATAGCTTCAATAAAGTTATATGCATAATATATCTATCTATACATAACATTTGTTTATTCTTTTTTTTCCAAGTATGTTTTGTTTAGCTTTGGTTATACTATTTATTGAAAAAGTTTGTTATTTATTGAGGGAGTCATATATCGGGGTGGGTGATCACGTGACATTTTTTATGGTAACATTAGGTCCGTGTTAATGGCTTGGCATATGACTTAAAGTGTTATAACTAATTGTCGTTGTGTCTGTCAATATTTTAAATAAACAACACTCTTTATATTTCAACAATTGAAATAATCTCCTTGTTCAGAAATACAAAGTTTCAGACGTTAAATTCAGTTTATAAATGCTTCAAAATAGTCCTTCTTAGGTTAACTAGTTCCTTTCAATAAATGAAAAATGGCCGACGTAAGTCCATTTCTACACCTGTAAGATGGTTTTTTTTCTGTCAGGGAAAGAGGAAAATGTCAGAGTGTGCCAAGTGAGGAGAATATGGTAAACGGACAGTTACTCGTTTTTCTCGTAAAAAATCAATTAAATTAAGATGAACTTTATGCTATTTTGTGTTTAGTTAAGTACAGTAACATTCATTAATAAATTTGAAGTAAATTGTGTATAGACGAATATAATATGAACATTATATTTATTATAATTAGTATATATACAAGGTGTGAGGCTTGTTTCTGATGAAATCTGATTTTGGTAAAGGAATAGAACGGGTACAGCTAGATCAGACTAGACTAAGGGGAGCCCTTTATTGGCCTGGCAGTTGGTCTGCGCTAAATGTTCAATGAAACTAGAAATCATTTTTCCATGGTGTTTGGTTCAGCTAATGTTTTTTCAGGCGAATATACAAGACCTCTGCTGCCTGTATGAAACAAAGCCAGCCTAAATGCTGACAACTCTGTCTACACAGTTGATATTATTTAGGAGATTTCTTCAATACTTGTTGCACTTTATTTCCATAATATAACTGTGAAAGCCTAGACGAGTAAAAAGGCAAGATTTTGAAATAATTTGAATGTAGTTATTGTGATAATATAAGTAAGATTTAATTCTTTTCATCCCATTTTATTTTTAGATTTTTGAGAATTGATAATACATGTATTGTTTTACAGAGATTGGGAATGTTTATGGTTATCAGATTGTTTGATTTGCGCCATTTTCTTATGTTACATTCTTACCGCTTGATTTCTGCTGTTTTTATTTTAAAAGTTTTTACGCAGATGTGTGTTTTTGACTATTTTTTTTCACCTTTACCCTATAAGAAACTATTTTTTTTAAACAATTCTTAAAAAATAACGGAACACAGAATTAAAACAGCATTGGATACCCATGATATAGTTTCATTAGTATTTATATGTGATCATATAATGAGAACAAATATCTATGTAACAAGGAGTTTAAACAATAAAATGGAGAACAAACTTATACTTTAAGTTTTTTGTTTTGTATATGAACCTGTGTTATATCACTCCCCACACAGTTAGCCACACTAATTAAATTAAACTACCTGTTTGAAGCAATTTTAGTTAATTGTCCCCCGCCTTTTCGAAGAAAAAAGGGGGATATAGAAATAGGCTCTGTCCGTCCATCCGTCAGTCACACTTTCCGTAACTTTGTCATTTATCAAAGGAATTTGAAATAACTTGGCACAAATATTTGTTATAATAAGACGATGTGTCATGCGCAACAGCCAGACCCCTACCTCCAGGGTCAAGGTCGTACTTGCTCATTCAAGGTGAACATTTCCTATTTGAGGGTATATGTCGTGTCCGTAACTTTCTTATCTTTAAAGGGATTTTGTAAATACTTGCCACAATTGTTCACAATAATGAGATGATGTGTCATGCGCAACAACCGGTCACCTATCTCCAAGGTCAAGGTCAAACTTGGAGGAAAGATTAACATAGTCTGTTTCAGGGTATATTTTGTGTCCGGTCAATAACTTTTTCAAAGATCAAAGGATTTTGAAAATACTTGGCACAAATAGTCACTATAATAAGACAATGTGTCATGCGCAACACCTGCATCACTACCTCCAAGGTCAGGATCACATGTAGAGGTCAAAAATTAAAATAGTCTGTTATAGGGTATATTTTGTGTCTGATCTAGAACTTCTTCATAGTTCAAAGGATTTTGAAATAACTTGGCACAAATAGTCACAATAATAAGATGATATGTCAAGTACAACACTTGCAGCCCTACCTCCAAGGTCAAGGTGACACTTAAAGATCAAAGATTTACATAGTCTGTTAAAGGGTTTATATTGTGTCCAGTCCATAACTTTTTCATAGATCAAGGTATTTTAAAAATACTTTGCACAAATAATCACAATAATAAGACGATATGTCAGGCATAAAACATGGGTCCCTACCTCCAAGGTCACACTTAAAGTTCAAAGATTAATATAGTCTGTTATAGGGTATATTTTGTGTCTGATCTATAACTTCTTTATAGTAGAAGGGATTTCGAAAATACTTTACACAAATAGTTACAATAATAAGATGATATGTCATGCACAACACCTGCACCCCTACCTCCAAGGTCAAGGTCACTCTTAAAGGTCAAAGCTTAACATGATAGATTTTTAAGTTCCGTGTTTCATTTTATTTCTTTAAAAAAATTATTGTTGCATTTGCAGATCTAGCATTGGTCATAATTTTGGAATGAAAGTCTTGAGATCCCTACCTCAATTTTTTGAAATAGCACAATTTTATGCTTCATATAAAACTTCCCGAGGCGGGGGACGTTGGTATATCTGTTTCAAATTCTTGTTTACTTTGTATAAACTTCTACAATATTAATACATAATTAATAATCGAGGGTTCATTTATGTCCCAAAAATTGAGATTTAAACCCTCTGTTCACATTCCATATCAGCTGGAAACAAAACGCCAACTTCTAAAAATCTTCATCAAACATCACGTGCTAAATGCAGGGACACATATCAAGACAAGTCAACCATTTACCTGCTGAAAGTTTTTGTTTATTTGCAGAGATAAACAACAAGAACTTAGCTACTATAACAGTATAGAGCTTATTCAAGGTACAACAAAAACAAAGGCCGGTAAACCATTATAACCCTCTTTCTGGGTAGGCCAATTCATCTAGCATGCTGGCATGTGCACTTTTAAACATTTGCAATCGCTGATCTAGAATAAGCCACAAATTTCTACTCGAGATTTCTATACAACTTTTACCCAATAACCATTCATACATTTATACGATCATTTCGTTCATACGTGTTATTTTACATGAATTCTTAGCCTTTAACCTCTTGGAACTGAAGGTGATTGGAGTATGCAACCAGTATAGACCAAGGACAGTCTTCACATCCTTGCTGTCTAGCCAGGATCTATACAGTTGAACCAAGTTCTATGCTATTGGTAGTTGATATTCAAGTCCCTTGTATTTTGAATTGAGCTGTTCCAAATTTAATACCACAAATATAGCGGGTCCGATCGCAATATGAGTACCAGAATAAACCACCCATACACGTCCATATACAATTCCGAACTCCGTCAACTATTTCATTATCAGATCTGTCCTTTTTCTATACAAAGACGACAAATGGCTTTTAAAGTTAATTGGCCATACTGAAAAGTGAAATTTCACATTCATAGGTTTGAGTTTTTGGCTCAGTATATGTTTTTTCTTAAGGGGTCGTCCCATGTTTGCGCATTTATAAAAACGGTTACTTGCGCATAGTTGCGAAAGTGATTTAGGCCGATTCGCTTCAATACGTATTAATACGCGTGTACACGTTTGTGGTTTTCGCATATTTACGTTTGCAATGGCTACAGAGCGTCGTTCCAAATTCAATACCACAAATATAGCGGGTCCGATCGCAACATGAGTACCAGAATAAACCACCCATACACGTCCATATACAATTCCGAACTCCGTCAACTATCTGTCCTTTTTCTATACAAAGACAACAAATGGCTTTTAAAGTTAATTGGCCATACTGAAAAGTGAAATTTCACATTCGCAGGTTTGAGTTCTGGGCTCAGTATATGTTTCTCCTTAAGGGGTCGTCTCATGTTTGCGCATTTATAAAAACGGTTACTTGCGCATAGTTGCGAAAGTGATTTAGGCCGATTCGCTTCAATACGTATTAATACGCGTGTACACGTTTGTGGTTTTCGCATATTTACGTTTGCAATGGCTACAGCGCGTCGTCGCATTAACGATTAAGCTGACGAATATCAAATGTTTTGCTGATAAGTTCTTTCTAGAATGTTATAATATATTAAACGGTTGGCAGTTTCTTAAGAAAAACAAAACACAATAAAAATAGGTTCTTGTCGAGAAGACAAGAGCACTCCTCCAGTATCTGGCCTGTAGTCATTGAAAATATGTTACTAAGAAAAAAATGATTAGAATACATGTATTTGAAAATTCACATGCTAAGATACATTTGTATATTTCATGGGTTAGTACGCTGATCTTTTTGTCAGTCATTCACAAGATCTTCCGATGGCCTATATGGCTACGTTTAGGTTGGATTACGCAAATTGTTTTGCACTCCGTATACCAGCAACGCCTACACTGATACATCCACAATAAGTTGACATTCCTTGTTTGGATAGTAAGATATCATCACTTGATCCTCGTTGACTTGCTTCATCTTCACAAAATTATATCACCTTCTATGTTCATAACATTCTGAAAACCAACTATTGCTTGTTCAGTCACATTCTGGAAAAAAATGTCTGGCACGGCTAATAGACAGAAGTCTCCACAAACCTATATGTATTGAAATTGTTGTTATGTTTCTTGACTTTTCTGTAAGAGATAATTGTTCGAAAGCGTGGTTTAAATCAGATTTGCTAATTTAATTTTGAAGAATGTTTAAAAAATTGAAAACATACCGTGTGATTGACCTATTTTCTCCTACATCCTTAGCTCAACAGAACCTTTCAACTTCCCATAACGGATGTGACGTAATCAGGTAGCTTCCTCAGAAAACATAGAAATGGGCAAAATACAGATTATTCAATAATTAATGTAACACGAGAAATTTCATTGTTGCAAATAATTAATCATACCGGATTTGTAATCCAGGGTTCACTCAGTGCTTTGATCCTCTTTCTAAATTTAGTCTGGTGGTCATTTGCCTAACCGCTGATTTAGGGAATCGTATAGGGACAGAAGTCGGACACTTACAGATAAATGGGTAGTAACTGCTTATTCAAATATCCAGGAAAGCCGCTTATAAGATTATCATCCGCCGAGGTTCCTTGGCCTAGTGTGTTAAAATCGGCATAAAAAACAAAAGAAAAACTAATACACAGTGATATGTGAAAGAAAAAAAAAACATTTATACACACACACACAGAAATAATACAAATACGTTGAAATGAGTAAAAAGAAAAACATTACTAAATTGACATTTTGACAAAAACAGTGAAACTGTTTATAAATAACTCAAATCGACAGCCTTTTTGAACCGGACACACCTGATAATTTTCGTCTTGGTTCTATATTTGACTTATCTTATCTCATTTTGGTCTACATTGGGACAAAAGGGTAACCATTATCAGAGAAAAACATCCAGTTCCTGTACTTATAAAACCTTGCTCAAACTAGTTAGAATATGGGATAAAAGTGAGATTAGAATTCATTCCTTACAGAAAAAAATTCCACATTTACAGAAGAACCGAGCTTCCTTAGATAAAAGTAAGCTACGTCCTTACTTTTGCGATTGTGTAATGTCCTATTAAGATGTCAATATGATTCCTTATATAGCAATTTAAAATCTATTTAGGTATTTAGATCACATCTCTCTCTGATAAGGAATTATGAGTTCATACAAACTAATTCAGCTAGTCTCACATTACAGATTTATTTTCTCGATTCACGTGTATTTGAGATGTACATGTAGTCTATTGAAGAAGTAGGTCCTCTAAATGGAGAGAAGTCATTAGTCCTCTCCACAGTGCTTACGGTAATTGCTGGCAATATTCATTTTTACGTATCAAACTGTACTATACAGAAAATAAATTGAAAACCGTATATAACAAGTCTTTTAAAGGTTTTCTATTTCATGTTCTGTATGTGTAATCTATGGTTTATGAGGATCATTTTATGAGGGTCACGTAATCCCAGACATGGCACCACTTAAAGAGTTAACTTTGAGGCACAACGTAGTGATAATTTACCTCTGTGCATATTCCACAGAGTATTAGCCAAAGAAAAGAATTTTGATACGAAGTAGATCACTTTATAGCGGACAATGAGCACATACTAGTAAACGTTCAATAACCAGTGACAATAATGAAGGAGTTTAGCCCTAAAACGGGCTGTTCGTGCCATCGTTCAAGCGATCTCTTCGGCCTAGGTGCTCACACTCCCTTGTACCATTCCTCGTCGTCTCTGTCACATTGTATGGCCACTCCCCTCGGCTTCATTCAGGACAAAGGTAGCTTACTCTATTCAGGGTGACGGAAAAGGGCGAAAAGTTGCGATTGTATATATGTAAATGAGACTGTATTCTCTGTTATAACAACTTACCCTTCTCTGAGTTCCATCCTAAAAATAATAATAATTAAAGTGAACGAATGATTTAAAGGCATGCATAACTGTTGTATAAACCATAAATGCCGTTTTATTGTATTTTATAAATCCTTGTTTTTTTTTCTCATATCTCTTTCTAAAGAAAACTTATACAAAAACTCATAATTATCGGTTGTTTTTTTTGTAAAAAAAAAGAAAAGAAAGGTAAGAAAAACACGACATTTTAGATAAGGAAACGTGAGTTTTATTATGTTTAATAGATTTAGAGCATTTTAGATGCTTATTACCTGTAGAAAGAAGCGCTTAATGTGAAATTATTTGTCATAAAAGAAGCTGAATGTGAACAAAGTAGTTTTTTTTACTTCCATACAAAATGCTGTATCATTATATCTGAACTCGTTGCCAAAAAGCAACAAAAACAATAGATGGTTTAGGTAAGTGTCTACTTTGTAACAAAAAAACTAAAAGAAACTATAACGTTGCACCAAAATGAAAAGACTTTTGCAAAAATTGAAATTAAATGCATTCATTGGGCATGATGTGCCTTTAATGTATTTCATATGTAAAAAAAAAAAAAAACAATTTAAGTTAATTCTTTCGTATAGTATTCCTTTTTTTAATTAAAAGTATTATTTTATTTAATGTAAATTTATACTATTTATAGTATTGTTTATCCTGATCAAATTGAATTACATTTACTTATTGTATTAGATGATATAATGAAATATAAATTAAGGCCTATTCGCAGATTATAAAAAATGTGGTCTATATATGGTGCACTGACCATTTATAGAACAGTCATACGAGTTTAAAACTTAGTTGAAGAAGGAACCTTTCAAAAAGATTTAAAATCTAAAATCTGAATTTCTTTACCGTGTTCATATTCAGCGCTTTTGTGTGTGAAAAATAAGAGAATTATCATTTAGTTTTAATTTTAACGTTTTTTAATAAACCAGACAAAAGGGCATTGGCAAGACCTAAAATGTGATTCAAACTATTTCCGAATCTTAAAAATTTAATGCTCATTGGCAGCTCCTGACAAATGATGAGACAATATGGAATTTTATGTTAATTTGAATCTTGTTGCAAGCAATTTAGATGTTCGTCGTTTCAAACGTTATTTTCACACTCTTGATGTAAAGAAACGTCCCTTTCACGTTCAAGCGTGACAAAGCCACCTGAGTGGTAGGCTTTCCCTCAAGATAATGCAAAAGTTTTCTTTGGCGAACTAGGATAAAAACTGTGTCAAAAAGTTGGAACAAAGCATCAAATAGATGTCACAAATGATATCTAAAATATACTACCCTTATAATATGAAAGCATTTATACAAATATAATGCCCAGATCTGTAGTCGATAAGTCCTGGACGAGGCACAATTTCTCCTTAGACATTGATTCTGATAGACATTTGAGCCGCGTCATGACCAAACCAACATAATGGGTTTGCGATCCGCGCAGTCTGATCAGGATCCATGCTGTTCGCTATCAGTTTCTCTACTTTTTATATGGTTTGTAAGCGAACAGCATGGATCCTGATCAGACTGCGCGGACGCGCAGGCTGGTCTGGATCCATGCTGGTCGCAAACCCATTATGTTGGTTTTGTCGTGACGCGGCTCATGTGTTAAAATCGGCGCAAAAACATTCAGATATACAAGCTCATGAGCCAAATTTGATCCAGTGATTTATTCTTCTATTCATTCGCAAGCATTTATAGACAAGCAAATATATAAAAATAGATTAAATGTACTTGCTTGCGAACTTTTCTTTGTCCAAATTTAGATGTTTTATTCTGTTTAAAGCAAATCCAGTGTCATTATAGCGCGTACACACACCTTCTATTGTTAATGAAGACATTCAATGTAAACTTAACCATGTCAAGTCGATAGAATTCCACAATTTGATGCATATTTTAAAACACTTGACACTGAAATTTCTAAATCGTCTTTAAACTTTTTTGTCAACCCTCATCAAAATAAAGACTACTAAAAAGCACTATCACAGCCATATTGCTGCTCATATTCATTTACAATTACTGAGGGTGACCCTACTATATAGGAAAATGAGTTGGCAATATCTGGCCGTAGCATGGAGTTATATCTTGCTGATTATAATTGTTTTACTTTTCATAATTTTACATCAAAGGAAGAAGAAGCAGTTTTTTGACAATGTTGGAGTGACATGCGAGCCGACATGGCCTATTTTAGGGGCCTTTCCAACAATCCACCAACAAGGTATTTTAGAACATGACATTTTTGCGATAGAAAAATATGGCACCGTCCACGGCTCTTACCTTGGTAATATTCCAACGCTTGTTGTCGCTGATCCGATATTAGTAAAAGAGATATTTTTGCGGCAATCAAACAATTTCCCATACAGAATGCAAGCTCTATATGTTTCAAAATGGTGGGAAAATGGCGTGGTCATAGCAAGCGGAAAGCACTGGCGATATTTAAGAGCGCTTATTAGTCCTTCATTTAGTACTGGCAGACTTCGAGAGATGCAACCAAGATTGTTGAAGTGTATCAATGTCATGATAGATTGTTTAAATGACAAGGTTGAAGTATCTGGCGAGATTGACTGCGACATACGGGCCATTCTTGGGGCATTAACTATGGACATAATTTGCAGCACTTCTTTCGGTATAGATATGAATACATTGAGAAACATGGAAAACGACTTCACGAAACACGCCAAGATTGTAAGCACGCTAAATATTGAATCGAATCCAGTTAACGCTCTTCCGTTTATTGTACCAAGTATAAGACGGGTGTTCGAATTTCTAGACCTTGATTACGTAGACAAAACATCGTTAAATTATGTGAAAAACGCAGTCACAGATATGATAAACCACCGTAAAAGTCAAACTGACATGTCTTTTAAAGATACCTTAAGCAGTTTAATGAACGCGCATAAAGGACAAAGTGAAACAGACATCAACGGCAACACAACTAAATCAATTAATACCCCAAGACCGCGTTACCCAGAGCAAAACTATAAGAAAACACTGAATGAATTTCAAGAATTTAAAGAGAAAGGCCTTTCAGACGACGAACTTGCAGCAAACGCGCTTATTGTATTGATGGCTGGTTACGATACAACTGCGACAACTTTAACATGGATGTGTTACCTTCTAGCCACTCATCCGGATATCCAAGAAAAGCTGCTAAAGGAAATTGACAGTATTGTAGGGTCAGATGACCCTGACTATGACAGTGCGACTAAATTAGAATATTTAGACTGTTTTTTATGTGAAACTCTTAGACTGTACCCAGCGGCTAACAGGACTGGAAGGGATGCATGCGTTGATACAAAAGTCTGTGACTACAATATAAAGAAAGGGCTCTCAGTAACTGTTCCAATTTATGCAATGCATCGTATGTCTGAATATTGGAACCAACCCGAGCAGTGCATTCCGGAAAGATTTTCACCTGAAAACAGACATGATATAAACCCATATGCTTATATTCCGTTCGGGGTTGGACCTCGCGCATGCGTGGGGATGAGGATGGCGCAGATGATGTGTAAAATAATAATGGTGAAATTTTTACAACATTTTTCTGTAAAAGTGTGTGATCAAACTGAGAATCCTCCGCTCTTGGAAAAAAGTCTCTTGACAAAGCCTGTCAATGGAATGTTCTTGAAAGTAGTTCCAAGGAAATGTGCCTGAAAGTAGTTCCAAGAGATATTTATACATAATAATTCTCAAGCTTTTAAAAACAAAGAATTCAGTTTTCATTTTTTGTACAAAACTTCATTTTTTTTCTTTCACTACAATATAACTTGCTTCAAAACTTCTTTAAATCACCAAAGATTTTTTCATAAATTGACTAATCTATTGACTAATCAATTTACGATAGTTGACTTTAGAAAAGGGAACTATTAATTTGGTGATAACCGTTTCACAAATTAACAGTATATAATTTTAGGATATACATGTATATATTTTTAGTTATTCGTTTTACAATAAAAAATATTTCTAATGAATAAATCGTCTCAATGATTTTATGAACTACATATGTAATATAAAATTCTGAATATATTTGTTTATCAAATATATCATTATGCCAAAAGAACAATTTATTTGTTTGTTGTTGTTTTTTGTTGTTTTTTTTTTATCTAAAAACCGACTGTTTCATTTTGTTGTATATTTTCCCAAGATTTGTAAGTACCAAGTCATGTTTTTTGTTTTGTTTTTTTGTTTGTAGTATTTTTGTATTACCAATTTTCTTCTTATAACATCATTTTTCCTATGTTGGATTATCATACCTAATTATTCATTTAGAATCGTCTGGAAAGTTTCGACCAGACCTTCGAGATGTACTTCTGATGAACGCCTCTTATATAACTGACTCAGTTATTTCTAACTAATTGCTTAACTTTTCGATTTAGAAGATATTACAAAATCAAGGTACTGATACCTTATTTTATTTTAATCTTATTTTCTTTCATTTCAGTCATAATACAAAGTCTAAAACTTTTCTAAAAATGCAGTACTGTTTAGTTAAAATTGACACTTTCAGTTTGTAACGGAACCAAAAAATATTTTTTTTTTGTCCCAGGTTTGTAGGTATTTTGTATATACTCGTACCTTTAAATTTAAGAATTATTTCAGTGTATTAATTTTGTTATAACTGTATTTTGTTTCTGTAGTTTAATTGACCTATTTTCCATGGCCATCGTTCATTCTACATACATAAACAATATATAAATGTTGATGCTGATTTATTTTCCTCTCCTTTTGCAGGGACCAGCATATATTAGCATTTTTTTCTGACACCTGTATTATTACTTTCCCGCTATATAAAAAAACATTTGAGGAGATCCACTCTAAATAATAGTCTGAAAAAAAAACAACAGATCATTCGCTCGTTCAATGTGCAAAATGACGCAAAAATGAAATGCGTTTTTCTCAAATCTGGCTACGAATCGCACAGAATATGTTGTTTTTTCATATTTTTGGTGCGCGAGTTTCTTTTTTTCTATTTAAGTTTTAAAATCTCTGTGTAGTTCTTTTCATACCTGACTACAACTAAATTTTAAAATAACAATAAATATATTGTACTACATTGTACCTTCCTTACTATTGGAGGTATGCCATATTCCAATGTTTGTTTTCATATGAATTGTCAATAGAAAATGTGGTTTTATTGCTTAATTACAATGTTTATTTTTATATTGTTTACTGACAAAATGATCGTTTTGAACTTAACTGTATCGTATGATTAATAATAAATTCTATCATATGCTAAACCACGGTATGTGTAATATAAACGTATCTGTCATATGCTTACTGTATATGTTATTGTATGTAAATATTGCCTTCTGTTTAGTAAAGAAGTGATAGTAAAGGATATACATGTACATTTTACATGCATAACAGAAGAATGATATAATACAACAATTGTTTTTTGCTAAATACAAGAAAGGAGAAACATCGCTAAAATAGCTGATTAATCTCTCATATCTAACGCTTTGATATTTTATCCTAAAATCTGTGTTAGCAATGATCATCTTGTTTTGCACATAAAGAAATCGTACTGTCAGAATAAACATGAACAAACTATGTATTGTATGGCGATTGTTCTAATAGAATGAAACTTCAAGGTTAGTTAATGTATATTATAAAAATATTGGTTCATGTAGAATATTTTTATTCTTTGTAAATAGAGAATGATACTGATTTCAATAAAATACATATTTGAGTAAAAAAGGAATAAAATTGTTGTTGATTTTTCACATATCTTCTAACAATATTTTTGGACGACTTTGATGCCGTGAAAACTGACATCATATAATCACAAAATCGGATTCGGTTCAACAGCAATTTTATGATCACATGTGTGGTGCCCGGTTGTTCACTGTGTTGACATTTTTTGATAAATAGTTTTACTACATCGAGGTACTGAATATACTAGTATTAAGGAAAAGATATGAAAACTGTTGTATTGCGCGTTTCTACGGAATTCCATAAACGACAGCTTAATGCTCACTGCCTACTGCTAACTGGACAGCCTGCTGCTCACTGCCTACTGCTTACTGCTTATTGACAGTCTAAGTCTATGTATGGATCAAATAGAAGTATTCCGAATGTACACACATGTGCATCCGCCATTTTGTTGAAAAAAAGCTGCTGGGAAAACAATGGTAAGTAAATTAAAAAGGATTATTTTATAATTAAGCCTAATAATTTGTAATTTCGAATTCATTGCAATGACTTGTGTATGTCCCACCATTGCACACTGCATTGATTATGTTATGAAATGGTTCCACGTGCCTCTTGCACAGGTGATTGATAAATTGTCAAATATAGGACTCATTTTAGGGTAAATCAACTTAATAATAACTTATTCACAAAGAATCTGTGTTCAACAATCAACATGGATGGGCTTGAGCCCACCACTATTCCTCAGTTGAGAGGCGGAGATCTGCTGGACTATTATGTCAACACTTCCTTATTTTATTTAGAATTTCATAGTTTATTAAACTTTCATTTGACAATGTAATACATTTCTAGAAGAAAATCTGTAATATACTGGTGAAATCACTGGTGAAATTTAGGCTAAACATTCTCTCATAATCAAAAATGTGTAAGTTCATTTACGAAATCATTTAGGTTCAGTTTTCATTGGCTGTTAGTTATAGCTTATAAATGTGTAATTCCTTATAAGATGTTATGTAATGCACTTTTGTTAAGTTGATTGCAGTCTTGATAGTTTATGTTGCAAAGATATGTGCTTTGAAGGTTAATAATACAATTGTAGTATCAATTTTATTCTAGTACAGAGGATGATAAATCTGACAGAAACATTTCAATGGAGGAACAGCCTATACTTTCATTGACTTCACAGACAAGTAACAGAACCAATACACCTGTATGAAAATATTGAAATTACAGCGGAAGAGGAAAAGACTACATAAATGTATTGGATCTTAAAGGCGAGTTTAACTCGGCTTCCTTTTGAAAGCATAAACAAAGACAAACTTGGCTGTATTCAAAATGTTTTAAAAACCTTCAATTTTTCAAAGACATAAAGAGTGCAAACATGAAGTGATAACTTACAGTTTGGACCAGCTTATTTTACTTTTATGAAAAGCCATCATTATTCTCTTGTTTAAATTCAAGTGTGCTATTGAAAAACTATGAGAAATAATAGATTCTTAACTTTTTAAATTTACTTAAAAATTTCTGATAGACAAAATGATCATGTTAATGTTACAATTTTTTTTGACGTGTTTGTTTAAAATCCATCTTTTATATAATTTTTATAATTATCTTGTTAACAAACACACTTAAAAGTGAACTTTTAGGTTGGTTATTTTTTCTATTTCTTTTTGCAATTACCGCAAGTAAAACCAATGAGCAAATCTGCCTTCGTATTTGCTAGAATCATCCAATGAAAGTCATTACTATTTCTATCAGGGTTCTAGAGGTTTGACAAGTTCAATTTACAAGGCAATGGTAAACAGTTCTAAGACATCGTGATAGTGTAGAGCTTCTATGATATGATATGAAGCATTTTTAAGTTACCTTTCTTACAACGTGTATATCACTTTACATTGCAGAGTATATTTACATTAATATAATTTCATAACAACTACATGTATATAATTCATAACAGAACTTTTAATTATAATTCTGCTTTTATATTAATTGCTTTCCCCGAAACTTTACAAATATTTTATATAGATTTTGATTTTTTACAGGCGTGTAATAATTTTTATTTTAAATAACGGTGTATACAAGAAAATATTAGCTTACTGGTCTCATTATTGAGACTAAACAAACTTTTTATGTGGTGTTATAATCAATAAGTGTATTTTGTTTTCGTTTGAATTGTAAATAAAAAAGTTTTTAAAAAATAAAATATCGTAATTTTCTTGTAATTTTGTTTATGTTTAGCTCCCCGGAAAACAAAATTATGACAAAATGAATTGAAAATGTTTATATGTATGATAACCATAAAGCAAAGTTTGTTTGTCGAATGTTGTAACAGGACCAATTTGAAAAAAACAATATTTAACATTGTCCACATTTAACCCATTACTTCATGAGCATTTTGTGAAAAATGGCTGTTTTCATTGAAAAGTCTCCATTTACAAGTTCAAATTGCTATAAAACTATAAAAACTGCTTCAATACTAATCAAACTTGGCACAAATGTTGACTGGACCATTGCCTTTGTAACAACATGCCCAGGCTTAAATTTCATGTTACCATGGCAACGAGGGGACATCTCAAAATTGCCAAAAAACATTATTTTGTGTTGTTGATTTTATCCTTCAAAATTGATTTCAAAATGCTGCAACTTCTAAATGGATTGAGATAAAGTCAAATGATTTTCAGCGTTGGTTACACGTTTAGTTACCTTATGATCGATCTGGGGTTATTTTTAGCCTCTCAAAAGTCCATAATTTTCTTGCGCCTCCTTCTAGCAACCCCCTGATGTATCTTTTGGTTGGGAGCCGCGCCGAAAATGTCGTCACTTTTTTAAACAGCATTTCTCAAACTAAAACAAGTGTTGGCCTTAATAGGGTATTTTTCACCATTTGAGACAACAAAAAAGGCGTTAAAAGGCGATATATCAGGTAATGGGTTAAACAGTGTCTTAGTCCATCAAATTTAAATGGATGGGATCGCGAAAAGTATGTATCAGGAAGATGAAGATTACGTTATATCATTAGCTCCATAAGAAATACATCTGAAGCTCCAATATCTGGCAAACTAACTGAATATATTTCTTCAAAACAGCTTTACAAGTTAACCTCTTAAGGCAATGAAATATAAAGACGGCCGTACAGTAATATATTGATTGATCTGTTTCTACCATGTGGTTTTAATGCTTTTATCATAAATTATAAAAATTAAGAATGTAACACAGGCAATACTGCAAAAACTAAGAAATTACATGCGGAAGGCATATCAGTGACTCAAATTTAGGATACCGCAGTTCATCATATCGATAAACAAATACTAACAACACTTTGTATTAATAATGCCCAAGTAACTCTTTCAATGATCTTTCAATGATTTTATCATGCATCGACTTTCCAATTATAACACAAAAATTGACATGTTACTCATCATGCTTTTTAACATCTACTAAAGTAACATTTTCTTGAGTCAAATCTAAGGCTTTGTAGAATTACAATGACCAGAACAAGTATTAACTTTTTTAGATAGAAATAAACGGTTCCATGTATGATTTGGACCATGAAGTGTGTATACTCTCCCAGTACGTTTAACGTTTATCAGAATAAACTATTGGTAATTCGAGAAAATCTATATATCTATGTTTTGAGAACCATTACCTAGATTATTTTTTAACAAAACATAGCATTATTTTTTAAATGCGAACTTAAAACTGGCCATTGTGATTTAAATATAAAAACAAAGACGTTCATGACATTACAAGGCCTCCGTTTAAAAATACCATTAAGCTCTATAGTTATAGGGTAGGGTCAATATCATTAAATTTTAATGAACAAATATTATAATATACATGTTATATGGTAGATGTATCTAAGCTTGCACAGGGATATACATGTATAAATAATTAAGCAAGCAGTTATTTTGG